GTAGAATCACATCATCTGCAAATAGGGATAAGTTGACAATCTGTATCACTTTTATTTCTTTCTCTTGTCTTATTGCTGTGGCTAAGAATTCAAGTACTATATTGAATAAGAGTTGAGAGAGTGGACACCCTTGTCTCATGCCTGATTTTAGTGGGAAATGGTTTCAGTTTTCTCCCAATGTTAGCTATAGGTTTATTGTATGCTGCCTTTATTAGGTTGAGGTGTCTTTCTTCTGTTCCTAGTTTCTTCAAGGCTTTTTTTTTTTAAATCATGAATGGATATTGAATTTTGTTAAAGGGTTTTTCTGCATCTATTTAGATGATCATGGATTTTTGTTCTTGATTCTGTTTATGTGCTCTGTTAATGGTTATTGATTTGTGAATATTGTATTGTCCTTGCATCCTTGGAATGAAACCAACTTGATCATGAGTGTATGATCTTTTTAATGTGTGGTTGAATTCAGTTTGCAAGTATTTCATTGATTTTTTTTTTTTCTGTACTGGAATTTAAACTCATGGCCTAGTGCTTGCAGGGTAGGCTCCTCTTTTTTTGGGGGGTGGTACTGGGGTTTGAACTCAAGGCTTCATGCTTGCTAGGCAGGATCTCTACTGTATTGTTTTTCTATTGTCTGTTTTTTTTAAAATTTCTGCTCTCGTATTATTTCTTTCCTTCTGCTTGCTTTGGGTTTATTTTAGTTTTTCTTTGTTGGGCTATTGAGTTGAGGCTTTTTTTTTTTTAAGACAAAAACTTTTTTTTTTTTTTTTTGCATTATGGGTTTGAATGCAACATGTCTTTTTCTTTCCCTTTGGTACTACTGGGATTTGAACTCAGACATTGTACTTGGAGTTTGAACTCAGGGCTTTGTACTTGCTAGACAGGCACTTTGCAGCTTGAGCCATATGTCCAGCCTTATAGTTGTCTTTTAAAAAAGAATGAATTGGGCTGGGGGTATGACTCAAGTGGTAGAGCACCTGCCTAGCAAGCCAAGATCCAGAGTTCCAACCCCAGTACTGCTAAAAATAATAATAATAGCTTGGTATCAGTGGCTCATGCCTGTGATCCTAGCTACTCAGGAGGCAGAGATCAGGAGGATCAAGTTTCAAAGCCACCCCCAGGCAAATAGTTCTGGAGATCCCATCTTGAGAAACCCCCTTCATAAAAAAGGGCTGGTGGAGTGGGTCATGGTGTAGGTCTTGAGTTCAAGAAGCCCCAGCACTGCAAAAAAAAAAAAAAAAAAAAGACACTTGGTCTTGAACTCCTTTAACACTTATGTTTTGGAAATGGGATAGAGTTTGTATTCTGTGGTTAATCACTGTCATGTTTTATGGAGGGTTATTCATGGAGGGTTAGCTTTCATACTTAAGATTTGGAACCAGTTCACCAGATGACATGTAATTCTATATTGCATTATTTTTGTTGATTTTTTTGGTTATTCCTTTTATACTTTTGTGATAGAGGATGTTATATGGTAGTTAAATTTTTGGTATGAAAAAACCCTTATGAGAATTCCGAATAATTAAGACCAGAGCAATGGGTTGAGATGAATTCTTTAAAACTCAGCTTTCTCAAAGTCTGTCAGATCCAACCAGTTCATAGATTTAACCTAGAATTTAGCATCTTTAGAGTAAAAGTGCTGATAAAATGCTATTGAATGTAAGAATTGCCAGTACTAAGCATGCTAAAGATAATTACATGTTTGATACCACCCCACCTCCCCTAAGGAATATTTTTTAAGAAGTGTAATTGTGTTTATTTTTGTTACAGATTAATGAACTGTAAATAACAAGTTGGAAGAAGAATATATAAAGATTAGAGTTAAAAAAAAAAAGATTTTGAGTTGGTTATTTTTGGTTCACACTTGTAATCCTAGCTACTTGGGAGGCTGAGATTGAGAGGATCTTGGTTTGAGGCCAGCCCAGGCAAAAGTTCAGGCAAAAAGTTCATGAGACCCCATCTCTTTTTTTTTATTTAGAGAATACTTTATTAGTTTCTGTAATCAAACCCATGTAAATAAGACCTTACATATTTAATACAGTGCGTTACCCCTGTACAAATGGAAAAAAAAATTAAGTTTAACGTTTCTAGACCAATATGGCTATTAATTTCTGTACAATGCCAACTCAACACAGTAAACCGGGATACTTTCTTCCAAAATTGACAGCACAGCTAAAGTTTCCAAAAATTCAAATTATATATATATGTGTATATATATATATATATATTTATATTTATATAAAAAGACCAATAATAGCAGTATGTTATGCATCAATAGCAGCAACAGCTTTTCCAGGTTCTGCAGTCATCTGAACAAAATTATAGAGACATCTAGCACACTCCATTAAAACAACAAAAAAACCAAACCAAAACAAAACAACAACAAAAAAAGTGAAAAAGTAAAAAAAACAAAACCCCAGAAAACAGCAATTTTCTGTTACTGTTGTGGTACCTGGCACCATTTTTTTTATTAGCTTCTCAATCATCATTTAGAAAGAAAACATTCTAGAGTAACATCATTAAAAACAGCTCTGATAAAGCACAGTCACTACTACGTATCATAAAGCAGGTGCAAGATACTTTACATTCACAGAGGTATGATACAGTACTGTCCTACATCTATAATACTAGAGGATACAATTAAAAAGGCATTATTTGAGACTTGATTCTACTTTTCCAGCAGAGGGCCCAAAGGATGGTATGACACAGCTCTTTAAAGAAATGCACTTTCTTAGACAGTATTTCCTTTCATTGGTGGCAGTTCTAAGTACTCTCAATGAACATCAGCTAAAAAACCGTTTATTTATTTTTTTGTTTGTTTTTTTATTTCTTTATTTTATTTTATTTTTTTTATATTTTTCTTTTATTATTCATATGTGCATACAAGGCTTGGTTCATTTCTCCCCCCTGCCCCCACCCCCTCCCTTACCACCCACTCTGCCCCTCCCTCTCCCCCTCAATACCCAGCAGAAATATTTTGCCCTTATTTCTAATTTTGTTGTAGAGAGAGTATAAGCAATAATAGGAAGGAACAAGGGTTTTTGCTGGTTGAGATAAGGATAGCTATACAGGGCATTGACTCACATTGATTTCCTGTGCGTGGGTGTTACCTTCTATAAAAAACCATTTAAAAAAAAAAAAGCGAGGGGAGAGAGGGTAACCCCAACCCCCCAACCACTGGAGTCATACAAAGATGACCAAATGAAGGCAAGCAAGACTCAACCTAACTAGGACTTTACCAAATCTGTCCTGTTTGAATAGCAAGAACTCCACAGAAGGATGCTAAGCAGCACTTCAAAGCTTTAGACCACAATCAAAACACAGCATCATTTCAGACAGCAGCACTAAGTAGTCAAACACTGCTCATTTGCATCTGTTCAAGGATGCTGACATTAATATTTAATCATCTGATGAGACCCCATCTCAATGGAAAAAAGCTGGCTGTGGTGGTGTGCACCTGACATCCCAGTGATGACAGGAAGCATAAAGTAGGAGAATCTTGGTCCAGGCTGGTCTGGGCAAAAAGTTAGACCCTGTCTCCAAAATAACCACCACAAAAAGGGTTGGATATGTGGCTCAAGCAGTAGCATGAAGCCCTGAATTCAAACTCCAGTACCGCTGATTTTTTTTTTTTGGACAGGAGAGTAACTATTAAAGGGTGTTTTGTTTAGGCAGACAGGGCTAAATGGGGGAAGACTGCAGCAGAGATTTTGGGTTAAAGCCTGGAAAGAATCAAACCTGATCATACTTCAGGTTGTTCTTAAAAGGATATTTTTCTTACCTCCCACCTTTGTCTTTCATTTTTGATTAAATAGTATTTGGGATCTGGTAGCAAGGAACAATGATCTGACCCAGGAAATGGTGAAATGTAGAAGCAACTGTAAGAAGCCTTAAGCTGTTGTGCTGAAGACCTGCCAGGGAGAGCCACAATGTAGAATGGCCATGATTACAAGATTGTGGGCTTTAGGGAGAAATAGTAGAAATAGCTACCTTTTACTGAGCACCTGAGTGGGGGCCTTCAAACAGGACCATTTTCCTTATAAATAGGAGGCGGGAGCCACAGAGACAGGATGAAGGATTGAGATTCTAAACCCAAAGCTCTGTCAGTTGTTTTCAAACTTTTTTTATTTTTTAAACTGCAGGTTCATGTTTTTCCCCAGTAGGGAAATCTTATGTTGACCTCATATAATATACAGATAAAACCTAAACTGGTGAAATTCAGGGAAAGAGCAAGTGGAACCCAGGCTACTCAACTTTTTCCTTTTGTTTTCTTATTCTTGAAAGCTCTTAAGCATCTCTGTAGAACTTCAGTTTGAAAACCATGGCATTTCACATCCTGCTGCTTTTCATCACTTAATGGTAGTAGTTATAAGTTGTTGGGAAAATATCCTCTGATACCTTCTGTTTGGTGTTACTTTGGTAGACCATTTTTCAAAAACAATATTCACCACAGGGCTGGTGGAGTGGCTCAATTGGTAAGAGTGCCTGCCTAGCAAGCATGAAATCCTGAGCTTACCAGATACCTTAAAAGCAACTGAGGCCAATAGGAAAAGGGGACCAGGAACTAGAGAAAAGGTTAGATCAAAAAGAATTAACCTAGAAGGTAACACCCACGCACAGGAAATCAATGTGAGTCAATGCCCTGTATAGCTAGCCTTATCTCAACCAGCAAAAACCTTCCTATTATTGCTTATACTCTCCCTACAACAAAATTAGAAATAAGGGCAAAATAGTTTCTGCTGGGTATTGAAGGGGTGGGGGGAGAGGGAGGGGGTGGAGTGGGTGGTAAGGGAGGGGATGGGGGCAGGGGGGAGAAATGACCCAAACCTTGTATGCACATGTGAATAATAAAAGAAAAAAAAAGTAAAAAAAAAAAAAAAAAAAAAAAAATCCAGAGCTCACACCCAGTGCTGAAAAAAAGAAAAAAGAATATCCCCACATAGCTTTGGGCCTATATTTGTAATTGAAAATGTATGTTTATGAGCTCAATTTCCTTTTTCTTGAAGGTTGTGGAAGCACTGCCTGAAGACATGAGATCAGGTCCCACCCCTGATGGTTTTCCATGGGAACTGGTCACAGGTGGAGCGATCGTTGGATTTTTTGCTTTTTTCTTATTCTTGTGGAGAACTGTTCGGTCGGTAAGTAACCAACATTTACTAAAGAGAATGTTCATTTTATCTCTAGACTGAACAAGTAATATGAGAAACACATTTGTTATTTTAAGGAAACAAGTTAGTTTATAGTTTTGTGGGTTACTTATGCTAATGTGTGGTTACTAGAAACTGAATGTGGATTCAGGGAAATTTTTCTGTGTAAAAATTTTAAAGAACTTCTTTGTAGAAGTATTTTTAGTATTTGACACAAATACTAAAGCCCTCCCTTTATTTCTTCTTTTCCTTTTCTGACTTCATTATCTTTTTCCTTTTCCAGTCTGTTTGTTTTTAGCAATATACTAAACATCTGTCACTCTGTCACCCAACTTGGAATCAAAAACATTGCTGTCACATTTAGGTATTGTTCCATCATTTCGTTCCCCTACCTCCCTGTGCTGGAGGTAACCCCATTCTGGATCCTGTATTGGTTATTACCATGCCTTAAAAAATTTTTTTTTTGGGAGGGTTATGTCCTTCAAAAGTTTAGTATAAAAAGAGAAAAAATGAGATCTCAGCAGCATCCAAACCTAGTTTTCCATCACTTGTGATTGAAGATGTGAAAGAAGATTGTGTTGCTACACTCTGCAGCTCTATTGTAATGGACCCATCTGAGGTCATTATTGAGCCTTATAGAATGCCCAGAGATGCATCATTTGGTGCTTTGTTTAAAACAAAAAGTTTAGTATATAAATTTACTTGGTATGAGGCCATGCATCTGTTTGTGTGTATGTATGTGTGTGTGTGTGTGTGTGTGTGTGTGTATTTTTCACTCCATGCTTTGCTGTTAAGATTCATTAACATGTTTGAATGAGGCTACAAGTTTTTCCTTATTTATATATTTATTTATTTTGGTAATACTGGGGTTTGAACTCTGGACTTCACATTTGCTAGGCAGGCGCTCTACTACTTAAGCCAATCTGCCAGTCCAGTTTTTCCATTTGACTACCCTAGAATATTACAGTATAAGTGTAAGTTTATCTGGACGTTTTATGGGCTTGCATATTTGAATTGTTTTCAGGCTTTTTCTGTGGCAAACAGTGTTGCTCTGTGTATTTTTAACATATGTTCCTGTCATTTATTTGTAATAGTTTCTCTTGGGAATTTACGTAGGAGTGAGAATACTATATTATATAGAGCATGTGGATCTTCTTCACTTTTATTTTTTAATTTTTAAATGGTTTTTGTTAACTTTTTGAGACAAGAGTTCCTCAGTCTGATGATTTCAGTTTCCCAGTGTCCAAGTGCACCCACTTACCTTGTCTTTTGAATTTTCTCTTTTAATTTTATCTCTATACACAGTCTGTGGTAACTTAAGTCCTCTTTTGTCTTTTCTACCACTTTATGTGACCTCAGCTCTTAAGACTGATCCTCTTGTAAGTGAATTTATTCATTTCATTGAGAGAGAAAGCTTAAAGAAGAAAAAGGTTAAAAAAAAAAAAAAAAGAAAAAGTTTTGGTTTATGGTTTTTTAGAGTCCGTTCAGATCTATAGTCCACATAACATTTCTCATGCTGTAGCATTACGGGGCATGATAATTGGTAGCTTCTTTTTTTTTTTTTTTATAACCATTTTTATTTTTAATTTTTTTTTTTTTTTGGCAGTACTGGGGTTTGAACTCAGGGTTTTGTGCTTGCTAGGCAGGTGCTCTACCACTTGAGCCACTCCTCTAGCCCAATTGGTAGCTTCTTAAAATAGTTTTGCTTTAGGGCCAAATGTGTTTGGAGAACCATGGGTTAAATGAGATTAAACAGGCGTCTTTACAGTGAAGTTACTCTAGAGCCTTTAATATAATAATGCACAATATAAATCTTTAATTGGGAGGTTGTAGTATGTAGTATTTTTCTCGTTAAAATAGAACACTTTTAGCTAACTCATTCACTACTAGTAAGGTGTCAGAAACCTATTAAAGTTGGGAATAGAAGTTAAATAAGTTTTATATGAATGCATATTTGTTTAATGTAATTTTTTGTTAAAATTTGTTTTAGGTTAGAAGCCGGCTTTATGTGGGTAAGCTGTTTTTTCTATTTTAGATGTCATTATTATATATAATTTGAAAACATAAGAAGTAATTTATTCATGATAATATTGACTTTTCTTTTAAAGGAAGAGAAAAAAAGCTTGCCTTAGAGCTTTCTGAACTAATTGAAGAAAAATGTAGACTACTTGAAAAACTTAGAGTTGTCCAAAAAGAGGTAAGAGATTTTTGAACACAGTATTCTCATTGGTCAGGGAACTTTGCATTTCTCTATGAGCTACTTCTGTTTGTGACGTTAGTAAGGTCATTTACACTGTGCAGGACATGAGTTTGGATTCTCCTCGCTGCAGTGCTTAACCAATCTTCCAAATTTCAGCCATGTAGTAGGTGTATGATGTTTGGTTTCTCATGGTGCTTTCTTTTTTGTTTCTAAATTTTTCTTTTGAATTATCATGCATTAATAATATGGTAGATTTCATTGTGGTAATTCCACAAATGTCCACAACTCACCTTGAACAAATTTCATTGTGGTGTCAGTTTGTCTTTCCCTGACTGAGGATGTTGAGCACCTTTTTTACGTGTTTATTGGCCATTTTGATATATTTTTTTAAACGTGCAGGTATCCTTTTTTCTTTACTATATAGGAGTTTTTCTATATCTTACATACAAGTTCTTTGTCAGATATATTGCAAATATCTTCTTCCACTGTGTTCCTTCTTTATTTCAAATAGTGACTCAGACAGCAGAAGTTCTGAATTTTAATATAGTCTTTTCCCCTGCACCAGGGATCAAAGCCAGGGCTTTCCACATGCTAGGCAAGTGTCCTACCACTGAGCTACATCCCCAGCCCTTTTTTCTGTTTTTAGTTTGAGGCTCAGGCTGGCCTCAAACTAAACTAAACATGTACCACTGTACCAGGCTTAATCATTTCTTTATGGTGAGTGCTTTTCGTTTTCTGCTGAAAGAAAATTTTTGCTACCCAAGGGCGTAAAGTTACCCTCTATGTTGTCTTTGGAAATTTTATTATTTTTTAAATTTAGTCTTTGTATTAACTTGCTAGGCTTCCGTGACAAAATACCACAGACTGGGTGGCTTAAACAACAGAATATTATTTTTTCAGAGTTCTGGAGACAGGAAGTCCAAGTTGAAGGTGTTGGTAGATTTGGTTTCTTTTGTGACCTCTCTTCTTGGCTTATAGATGGCCACCTTTCTGTGTCGTCTTTTCTCTGCACATGTACATTTCTGATGTTTGTCTGTGTTCAAATTTTCTCTTCTTATGATATCATACATACTGGATTAAGGCTACTGTAATAGCCACATTTTAACTCAATTACTGTTTTTTTTTTTTTTTTGGTGGCATCGGAAATTGAATTCAGGTCCTCATGCTTACTAGGCTTTTACTCTTTCTGCTTGAGCCACTTGGCCAGCCCTTTTTTGCCTGGGCTGGCTTCAAACTGTGATCCTCCTAATCTCTGCCTCCTGAGTAGCTGGGATTACAGGCGTGAGGCACTGGTGCCTGGCCAGGATTTTTTTTTCACATGGATATGGAGTTAACTGATGTCATTTATTGAAAAGACCGTTTTCTTCATATTGTCTAGTGTTCTGTAATGTCATATTAAGTCATACAACTAAAATAAATGTTTGTTTCCCTAATATTTTCCATTCTTTTGGTCTTTTTTGTTGTTTTATTAATATATTATTAATATCTATTAGTATTTAATTAATTTACATATGATAGCTCCAAACTAACCCCTATTCTTTCTCTTATGACTTTATTGTTCTTTGTTGCCAACAGAGAATGTTTCTCCCAACAACACATGTACTTTTAGCTTCCTGTGGTTCACATAGGCCCTCAAAGATCCCACCCTCCAGCATTTGTACCAGGGCCTTCCTGTTTCTCTGCACAAATGTCTATCCATGCACTTAGTAGCCTCCTGCCTTAGCCTCCCAACTGCTGGGATTACAGGCATGTGCCACCCTGCCCGGCTTGAGAATTGGCATTTTTATAATGTTCAGTTCTTAATCTTGCACTATGGCACATTCTCCTATTTATGTCTTTTTAAATTTTTCTCGTTTTTTTACATTGTTGTGTTACATGCTTGCATATATTGTATTAGATTTTTTCACAGGGTATGTGTGTGTGTTTGTGAATATTTTTACATATATACACATATTTTTTGACAGCTCTTTTGGGGTGTAATTATATATCATACAGTCTCCCATTTCAGATGTGTAAATAAGCTGGGCATGGTGGTGACCTATGATTCTAGCACTCAGGAGGATTGCAAGTTCAAGGCTACCTTGAGCTGCATAGTGAGACTCTGCCCTCCCCTCCATTTGTGTAAATGAATGACTTTTTGTCTATTCACTATTGTGTGAGTGGCAGTCAACTTTGAAACGTTTTTATTGCCACACAAAAAGAAATCTAGACCTCTTCACTATCATCCTTCACCTAATCTCTCCCACTCCACAGCCGTAGATAACTTATATGTGCTTTCCATTTCTACAGATTTGCTCTGTCTGGACATTTCACATGAATGGATCATGTAATGTGGTTCTTCGTGATTGGCTCTTTTCTTATAACATGATGTTAAACACAGATACAGCAATCCCTCTCCTAGGTATCTACCCAAAAGAAATGTTTTATCCATCTGATAGATTTATCGGATTAATTGATTTCAAATAATATTTCATACTACAGTTTTCATACCATTTGCCCGTTGATGGACATTTGGCTTACTTCCACTGTCCACTTTTGGGGTGGATGTATGTGTGCCTGTGAGCAGCTGCATCGGAGCTATCTTTTTGAAGAATGGTCAACTTTTCCACACTGGCTGCACATTTTCCCTCCCTGCCATCTGAGATTCCTGTTGCTCTGCATCATGTATTACCGTGTGCCTTTTTGATCAGACTCCTCCTGGGGCTTAAGTAGCGTCTTACTGTGCTTTGGTTTGCATCTTCCTGATGGTGAGTGATGCTGAGCGTCTTTTCATGTGCTTACTGGCCATTTGTGCATCTTCTCTGAAGAAAAATCTATTCAATTCCTTTGCCTATTTTTAAATTATTATTTACCTTGGTAGGATTTGAATTTAGGACTTCAGCTTGCTAGGAGGGTGCTCTGCCAGTTTTTTGCTTTAGTTATTTTTCAGAAAAGGTCTTTCATTTTTGACTCAGACTGACCTTGAACTACAATCCTCCTTCCTATGCCTCTCCTGTACCTGGGATTGCAGGAATGCGTCACCATGCCTGGCTTATTTGTTGAGATTGTGCCTCACTAACTTTTTGCCTGGGCTGGCCTGAAACTGAGATTCTCCAAATATCTGCCTCCTGAATGGCTGGGATTATAGGCATGAGCCACAATGCATGGCCTTAAATTTTTATGTATTCATTTAGTTTTGTTGTTGATTTCTTTTTTTTTTCAGTGCTGGGGATCAAACCCATTTTTTTGTTTGCACATAGTAGTCAACCAGTCTTCCACTGAGCTACATCCTCAGTCTCTTATTTACTTATTTATGAGAAAGTGTCTCACTATGTGGTCCAGGCTGGCCTTGAATTCTCGATTCTCTGACCTTAGTCTCCTTGAGTGTGGGAAATTGCAGGGATTCACCCACAGGTTGTCTTTTCATTATTGAGTTTTAATTACAATCAGATATGTGACTAACAAATGCTCTCTCATTCTGTGAGTTGCCTCCTTGCTTTCATAATGGCACTGTTTGAAGCATACAAGTTTTAAATTTTGATGGTGGCTCGCTTCTTTTCCTTTTTTTGTGCTTTTGCTTAATTCAGAGTGACAAAGATTGACACCTCTGTTTTCTTTTAGAAATTTTATGGGTTTAACTCTTCTGTTTAAGTGTTTGGTTTATTTTGAATGGAGTTTTACATATGGTGTGAAGTAGAAGTCCTACTTTGTTCTTCTGCATGTAGATGTCCAGTTGTCTTAGTACCACTTGTTAAAAAGACCATTCTTTCCCCATGGAATTATCCTGGTACCATTTCATAGAGTAATTCACATAAATAAAATGATGCTATTTTGTATCTGGATGTTCAGTTAGCATTTTATTTTTTAATTTGCCACACCAAGATTTGAACTCAGAGCCTGTGCTCGATAGGCATATGCTCTGTCACTTGAGCCATGACCCCCTCCCTTTTTTGCTTTCGTTAGTTTTTGGATAGGGCCTTGCTTTATGCCCAGACCAGCCTTGAACTATAATCCTTTTGAATAGTTGAGATTATAGCACAAAGTACAGCACCCAGCCTCAATTAGCATGTCTTTGTAAGAGCTATTGCACATGTTTGTATTTTTTTCCCTGCTAAGTAAATTTATGTTGTAGCAATGCACACTTTGCTTGTCAGTTTATTTCTCAGTATAATTGTTTCTGGATCTAGGCTATCATGAATCAAACTACTGTGAACATTCTTCCAGAACTTGACTTTTTGTAGGCATATGTTTTCATTTTGCTTCAGCAAATACCTGGTATTGGAAGTGGTAGGTGATTAGATTAGGTATAGGTTAACTTTATAAGAAACTTTTTGATGACTTTCACATTTTTCTCTTTGCCTTTTGTTTTTAGCTGGGTTACTATGATTTGTGTAGGTGAGGTTTCTTCTATTTACCCTTCTTGGGGCTCCTAATCCTTCTAGTATCTGTGGCTTAATAATATTGTATTAGTTTGGAACACTTGATCACCACCTTTTGGAATACTGTTTTTGCCTTTTCTTTCTATATTCTACATATACATATTTAAGTGTTCATTATATTTCAGATATTTCTTCTTATGATATCTGAATTTTCCATCTTTTTGTTTGCTCATACTTCAGTCTGGATATTTTCTTTTAGGCTGTTTTACTAGTTGTTTTCATTTTTGTCTTATCTTTTAAACCACCCTTTGGGATCTTACTTTCAGTCACTGTTTCTTTTTCATTGCTGAAGTTTCTTTGTGGCTGTTTCTTAGTTCTTTTTCTCTGGTCCAACACTTTTTTTCTTTTAGCTCCTTTTATATATTAAGCTTTCTTAATTTAAGCTCAATGACTGATGAAGAACTCCATTATCTGTAATATCCATTATTGTATTCTGTTGCTTTGGTTATTTATTTATTTATTTATTTATTGGTGGCACTGGAGTTTGAACTCAGGGTCTACACCTTGAGCCACTCCACCAGCCCTTTTTTGTTTTTTTGAGGTGGGTTTTTACGAATTGTTCATATAGGCTGACTTCAAACTGCAGTCCTCCTGATCTCTGCCTCCTGAGTAGCTAGGTGTCTTGTCGTCTTGAATGCCAGTTTATTTTATGTTAATGGTCAGTGATAGTATAATAAAAATTTGTAGAGATAATTTTTTCTGTTTCCTTTTTCCATCTGGGGATTTAGCTTAGGGTGTTTTGTGTGCCAGGCAAGTATTCTACCACTGAGCTGCACTTTACCCTTGCAGAAATATTTCTGAAGTTGTGGGTGATGCTCTCCAGTGAGGATTTTCTGTTTCTTCTAGACTAGGGACATTGGAAATCTCAGGCTGCTTTTTAAAATTTTGGCTTAAAAATAAACTATTGTGTATTTAAGATATGCAATATGATGTTATAATTAAGTTTTTTGTGCATATTTAAGATGTATAACATTGTTATAAGATGCACACTCACACACACACATATATGTAGATTAATAATGATTCCTATAGTGAAGCAAATTAACATAGCCTTCATTTCACATAGTTAACCATTTTTGCCTGGGATAAGAGTACTTGTATACCCACTAAGTAGAAATTCTAAATATAGAATACTAAGTGTAGTCCTGATGTTGAACATTACATCTTTAAGTTGTTCATTGTACACATTGCTACTTTGTATCCTTTCATATACATCTCCCCATTTCATCTCTCCTACCTTGACCCTGATAGGAACACTGTTTTAGTCTGTATATATTATACTTTTTTTTTTTGGCAGTACTGGGGTTTGAACTCAGCCTCAGTGCTTGGTAGGCAGGTGCTTTACCCCTTGAGCCACACCCCTAGCCTATACTTTTTTTTTAAGGAGTCCATATAAAGTGGGATGATACAATAGTTTTCTTTCTGTTTCTTGCTTACTTTACGTAGTATAATATCCTCCAGATCAATCCATACCATAACAATGGCAAAATCACCTCCTTTTAAAAGACTGAATAATATTGTACTGAATTTATACACCACAGTTTATTTATTTGTCCATTGACAGACTCCTAGACTGTTTCTTCATGTTGGCTATTGTGAATAGTGCTGTGGGTGGTAATTTCATTTTCTTTTGAGTATATACCCAGAAGAGGGATTAACAGGATTGCAGAATCATTTTTAATTGTTTTTAAGGGTTTTTTTTTTAGGGCAGTGGAGTATGAACCCAGGTCCTTGTACTTGCTGGGCAGGTATTCTACCACTTGGGCCATGCCCCCATTACTTGAGCCACACCATTTCAATAACTGAAATTAAGACCCTCCTCCCACCGCTTCTTATTCTTTTTCTTTTTTTTTCTTTTTCCTAGAGTTGTTTTTGAATAGGGTATGGTAGGTACATTTGCCAAGGATTGCCCTTGGACTGTGATCCTTCTTTTTTTTTTAAATTAATTAATTAATTATTTATTACACTCATATGTGCATACAATGTTTGGGTCATTTCTCCCACCTCCCCCCACCTCCCCCCACCTCCTCCCTTACCCCTCCCCCCCACCTCCACCCCCTCGATACCCAGCAGGAACTATTTTGCCCTTATTTCTAATTTTGTTGAAGAGAGAGTATAAGCAATAATAGGAAGGAACAAGGGTTGTTGCTAGTTGAGATAAGGATAACTATACAGGGAGTTGACTCACATTAATTTCCTGTGCATGTGTGTTACCTTCTAGGTTAATTCTTCTTGATCTAACCTTTTCTCTAGTTCCTGGTCCCTTCTCCTATTGGCCTCAGTTGCTTTAAAGTATCTGCTTTAGTTTCTCTGCGTTGAGGGCGAAAAATACTATCTAGTTTTTTAGGTGTCTACCTATCCTCATACCTCCCTTGTGTGCTCCCGCTTTTATCATGTGATCAAAGTCCAATCCCATTGTTGTGTTTGCCCTTGATCTAATGTCCACATATGAGGGAGAACATACGATTTTTGGTCTTTTGGGCCAGGCTAACCTCACTCAGAATGATGTTCTCCAATTCCATCCATTTACCAGTGAATGATAACATTTCATTCTTCTTCATGGCTGCATAAAATTCCATTGTGTATAGATACCACATTTTCTGTAGTTTTCTTTCTTTTTTTTTTTCATAGTACTAGGTATTGAACCCAAGGCCTTGTGCATGCTAGGCAAGTGTTCTGCCACTTGAGCTATTCCCCAGCCCCTTTCTGTTTCTCCCTTTCCTTTCCCCTTCCCTTCTCCTCCCCTCCCCTTCGAGATAGGGGTCTTCTTAACTTTGCCTGGGCTGGCCTTGAATTCTCCATCCTTCTATTTCTGGCTGCTGTGCAGCTGGGATTATAGGCATGTACCACCATGCCCAGCTTCAGTTTTCTTTTTCTTGTGAGTCCTTGTCTTGTTTAGGTATCAAGGTCTATAAAATATGTTAGGAAATATTTTTTCTAGATATGTTTTTCAAAAGTGTTTAAGAAATATTTGCCTTAATTCTTTTCAGAAAGTTTTGTTGAATTTGGCCATGAAGTCATCTGGTGTTGGGTTTTTCTTTGTTGGTTCAGATTGCTTTAATAACAGATTTTAAGATGTTTGGAAGTTACATGTCTGTTCAAAAGAGTTCAAAAGTCTGGTTCTAGTTTAGACTCTTGTAAGTTAATTTTGCTTGGTATTAGTTTCCTATTGCTATTTTAACAAGTTACCACAAGTTTATTGTCTTAGAATTCTGTAGGTCAGAAGTCCAAAGCCAGTGTTGTAGGTAGAAATTAAGGTATCATTGAGTGTGTTTGCTGCAGGCTGCAGGAGAGAAATAGCTGCTCAGCCTTTTCAGGTTCTGGAGGCTTGTGTCTTCCTTTTTTTTTGGCCCTGGTCTCTGCTGCCTTTTTTCTCATATCACCTTCTCTCCTCATTTTGGTCTTCTTGCCTTTTTAATTTTTTTTTTTCGTTCTGGGGATTGAACCCAGGGCCTTGTGCATGGTAAGCACATGCTCTACAGTGACCTCTGTACATATGCCCTTAGTCCACTGCCTCCTTTTTATAAGGCTTCTTAGAATTATATTCGGCCCATCAGAATAATCCTAGTTACTCTCCTCCCCTCAAGATGCTTAAGTTACTTGTACCTGGAAGTGGAGGAGTAGGAATGGACACCATTGGAGAGTTATTGTTCAGCCAAGCACGGGGTCCTGTCTTACAGCCTGAGCCCCATGGCTCACCTCCTGCAGCAGCTGCTTCTGAGCTTCTGATCCTTCTGAAACCTTTGCTTAGTTTCCCACTGAGTGATGTCCAATGCTAGACTTGCCTTTCTGGGGAGTTCCTCTTTCATAAGTTCTCCCTGTTTTAATAGTAAATGTGTTTTGCCAGTCTTACAGCGTTGTACACTTACTGTCCTTATTTTTCATTTGTTGAGGGTTTCTCTCTGTCTTTTAAAGACTTTGTTTTCCCTGCTTGCTTTATTTGTCATATGATACCAATTACAAGTGAAAATTTTTGATGGCCAGTTACTATAAATTTCACTTTATTAAATAAGTTTAAAGAAGTTTACTTCATAGGGGTTAATAGACAACTTATATGAAAAATACATTTTTGAGTAAATCTTGGGATAATTTTTAGTACAACCTTGCCATAGAATTTTCATGTCTTTATAAATAAAAGAGTGCTTATATGAGTTAAAGTCCTGTGCTCTCTGAGAAGCAGACTTTGGACAGCTTTTCTAGTCATAGGGTGAAGTTCTGCCATCTGTTCCTCAAGCTAGTGGATTGTGATATATTAGCTTCCCTGGCTTTGCTTGTTACAGTGGTTAGATCTGAAGAAATTAAAGCTAAGCAAATCTAAGTCAATTTAGCGAATGTGCAGATAGCTTCTGCCTGCTTCTTAGGTACCTGTGTAGATAAAATTGGGGATAAAATTTGTAGCTTTTACTTATGTGTTGCCTTGTTTCAGTATGAAGGCTTAGAGTCATCTTTAAAGGATACCAGCTTTGAGAAGGAGTCAGCAGAAGCACAAAGTTTGGAGGTAAAAAAAAATGGTATAATTTAAAAAGCTAGGGAAAAGAGTCTTACTAAATCAATATAAAATTTAAAAATAATATATCTTCTTAAAACTAACTCTTTCAACGAAATGTGAAAGCGCATCCCTGGATGTTAAAACTAAAAGAAAAAAGTTAGAGGAAACATTAGTACATAGCATAAATATTTTAAAAAATTGCGCTCTTAACGTGTTTTGAGTGGGGCATAATCTATTCACTGGAATCCAGAGCTGCATAGAAACAAGTTCTTCATTCTTCATTCTTAAGAAATACATTAGGGTGACTGATCTTTTTTTTTGATACAATTTGCTTCAGAAAAGAGAAATAGAACTCATTTTCAGAAATTTGGGAATAATTGGAAAGAATAAATTATGTAAGTTGTGGTAGTATGTACCTTTTCTTCTTCCCCAGGATGGTAGGAGCTAACAAGAGTTAGGCCAGAGGTTTGCATTATAAGTAGTGGCATGCTAGCAAATGTTTACCGCTGCTCTAAAAACCATTTGTGAAGTTTTGTGAAATAAATACTCTACCATGGCCAGTTTTAAGCTATCAACATGATGTCACTGAATGAGAAGTTTGGAAGAGATGTATGCTGTCTGATTTTCTGAGCTAGGTCTGATTCCACTAATTATAAAAAGCACAGTAATTGGACAGGAGAGCAAGCCTGCTTCCACTAATGTTAAAGTAGGAAACAGTACCTTGTACCTTGTACCTTTGTATGTGTTCAGTCCAGCTTGGCAGTTCTCTATGATTGATGTCTGTAATCATCAGAAAGTCTGATGACTCAGAATGTCCTTGTGGAGTCCAAAGGAAGTTATAAATTAGATTCCACATAAAATAAATTTCTTAATGTTTTCTTTCTCTGGTTGTTACCTATTAATATGCTCAAGGCTTGTTGAAATTGTCATATTTTATCTGTTGAACCTCTGTTATAAGTTCTTTCCCAGGAGTACTTTATCAATTTGATAAGTAAAAAAATTTTAGAAAGGCATTTGGCATGTTAACAGAAGATCAGCGCCTAGGTAGTAAAGACCTTTACTCAGCCTGATGGTACTGTGGATAAAGTAGATATTCTAATTTATTGTCAAGACAATGAATTTGTATAAGCTAACAGTGAAATTAGTTTTTTAGCTGAATAGGACATTTTGGAAAATATTCTATAAGTTTAGTAATTTCTTAAGCTATTTTTAAAAAATAGTAATCATAACTGAATACAAACTATAATACAGTCTTTGGAAAGTTTGATGGTTGAATCTATAGATAAAAATCAAGCCAATAAAGTAATTTTGATTCAAGTTAGAGAATTCCTATAATAATGTAGTCAAATTTGGGGAAATATATATAAACAAGTTTTTTAATTACTGTAATGTCTTTTGGTTTGTTACTTTTTTAAAACAAGTTTGATGAAGGATCACAAGTATTGGAGGTATGCTTTATAGTACTTAAAACCCAATTGGAATAATCTAATAACTAATCATTCAGTGAGGAATATTACTGTGAAGTAATTGTGTTGTGTGTTTTTTTTAATCTTACTATGTTTTTTTACATTAAATTTGATTGATTTCTCATTTTTTCCTTAGCATGTGTTTTAACATGCTTTAGAAAGCACAAACTGCTTAGTGATTTATGACCTGTTTTTATAAATAAATTTTTATTGAGATACAATATTAATTCATTTAGGGATTATCTTTGTTTCTCATTACAGTGATCTAGTTGAATATTCATGACAGAGACTCTGTGGCCTACAAGCCTGAAATATTTGCCCTCTGACTCTATAGAAAAAATTTGCTGACCACTAATCGAATTGCTGTTATTTTAATATTATAGAAATGAGCAAATATAGAAACTGTTTATAGGCTATACAAACATATGTTTGATTATACTCACCTGATTTACTATAACCAAAAATTCCCATTTCTGTCATGTTAAAGTTGGCTTTTTGTTTTAGGCAAACTGTGAAGAACTGGATAGGACAAAATCTAAACTTGAAGATGAAATACTCTTTCTAGAAGAACAACTAGAAGAAGAAAAATCTAAACATTCTGAACAAGATGAATTGGTAAGGTCTTTGTATTTGAGGAGCACATAAAAAAAGTTATTAAATTTTAAAAACTAATGTGACATAGATTAAAATATTACAGGCAAGCCAGGTGTAGTGGTGTATGCTGTAATTCTAGCACTATAGAGTCAGGAAAATCTTGAGTTCCAGGGCAGCCTGGACTACATAGCAAGGCCCAGTCTCAAAATACCAAGAAATTAGAAAACAAAACAAAAAATTGAAATGCACTATAAGGAAAAGTAATGCAAAGACTACAGAAGGCTGCAGAGAGCAAAATTTTCCAGATCCACTTTTTACTTCCTACATGTTACCATAAGTTTCTTGCATATTCTTACAGAAAATTTTCATATATGCTGTGGAGCTCATATTAATTATTTAAATTGAATAATCACATACATAGTGAGTTTTTTCAACTTAAAAAATGTTAAGACCACCATACTTTTGCCTTTCCTTTTTTTAGTAGCTGAGGGTTGAACTCAGCGTTGCACTTCCTATGCAGGTGCTCTACCACTTGAGACACACCTCTAGCCTTTTTTATTTTGGTTATTTTTGAGATAGGGTTTTGCATTATGCCCAGGCCTGCCTGGATCTCAGTCCTCTTATATGTGCTTCCCTGGTATGACAAGCTGGTATGACAAGCCACACCACACATTGGTTGAGATGGGGTCTTTTGGACTTTTCAACTGGGCTGGCCTCAAAATGTGATTCTCCTGATTTCCACTAGGATTCTAGCTAGGATTAGTGGCTTGAACCACTGTGCCTGGCTACAACTTTGTCTTTCTGTTTTAAAATTTGGCTTAAGGAAAATCTTGATGTGTGTGAAATCTTTTTAGTAAGATGTGATGTTGGTCTACTTATCTTGAGCCTGTTTAAGTGCTATGAAATATCAAAGTTGAGATGAGGTACTGTTGCTGTTTAACTTTCATATAAAATCCTTTTTAGCATGTGGTAAATAAACTGAGAAGGCTCCTTCATTTGCACCTTCACTTACGAAACAAAGTGTTAGGTAAATAATATACATAATATATATGATGTCTTAGAAACTGAAAGAGTTTGGTAAATACTTAATTTATTGACTGATGTTTTTCCAGATGGAAGATATTTTAAAAAGGATACAGTCCCTAGAAGATAAATCAGAATCTCTCAAATCACAAGTAGCTGAAGTAAGTTGAATTAGTCTAATAGGTCTGTCGCTTTTGAAAATTATTGAAACTTTATTTTTATTATGAAGGAATAAAGTACTGTATTAGGATTTGAGATAAAGGGGATCTTAGATGTGTATTTTTTACTTGAGGCACTTCAGAAAAGTTTATTTTTCACTAAATAAGTATTATTTTTTAGCAGTACTGGGGTTTGAACTCAGGGCTTCAAGCTTGTGAGACAGGTATTCTCTTGCTTGAGACAAGCTTCCAGCCTGAATAAGTATTTATTAAGCTATTGCTATACACTGAATACTATTGAAAGTGTGTCACTTAACACTGAGACAAAAAACCCCTCATGAAGTTTAAAGGGGAGACACAGAATAAGTAGTTAACAAAATTTGCTGCATAGGATATAAAAGAGGTTAGACTCTGAATCTCTATCGGTCTTTTTTTTTACTATACCATTTTGCCTTTGCTATTAATATTGGCATGATTTTGCATTTGCTTAAATTCATTGTTCTAGGGAGAATGTGTAGAGATGTTAACTGTGTAGAGTTATGTTAAATTAATTGTATAAATGCAATTTTTTTTTTGTTTTACTTAGGCTAAAACAACCTTGAGGATATTTCAAATCAATGAAGAACGACTTACAATAGCAATAAAAGATACTGTGAATGAAAATTCCCAGCTTCAGGAGAGCCAGAAAAAGGTTTGTACTCTGTAGGACTCCTCGCCTTGTGAACATAAAGTATAACTCTTCTGGGCAAGTTCACGAACCATGTATGGAGTCATGTCATGAGTAGGTTTTTCGTAGAGAGCACACGAGCAGGACAATGTCTCGTGCATTCTTAGGTGTTTCATTTGTATAGGATTATAAAAGTGCGTACTTCTGGACCTTCTTTTCCCAGGAATGAAGAAAGCCAGGGCATTCAAGATTTTTGTAATCACAGCAAATAGCTTTTAGTACCAACTTCTCAAAACCAGACTGAAGAAGATGTGCAGGGATACCAAAGAGGGTTATTGAAGTTACCAATTTGGGACCTAAAGAAAGAAGGAGTTTTATCTTCTTACTTGGCAGGCCAAGTAAAGGGTTTAGCTTCTTTCACATTATTATAGTTCTCTAAATATTCTATTTAAACCACATGATATACCGGATTATACAGTCTCTTAGCCAACATTTTCTTTTCTTATGGTTAATAATTGTTTTGTTTCCTGTAATATCTATCTGTAATTCATCTGTATACTCTCTTCTAAAGATGTAAATGTCTTATTCATGCTTTCATATACTTTAGTTAATCTATTAACTTCATTTTTTTTTCTTGAACCAGTTTTCTTGGGAGCTTCACTACTCTTGGTCTAATATGAATTTATCATAGGCTTCTGTTGTTCTGAGACTTTACCTCCATCTCCTCCTGAAGAATCCTCTTGTCTTTTCTGTGCCGGATCTTCTGTTTCTTGTATCTAAGACTTCTGCTTTTGTGGTGATTTTTTTTTTTTTTTTTGGTGGTGCTGGAGTTTGAATTCAGGGATTTGTACTTTCAAAGCAGAAGCTCTATTGGTTCCAGTCCATTTTGCTTTGGGAGTTTGGAACTGGGTTCTCATGAACTGTTTGCTTGAGCTGGCCTCAAACTGTGATCCTCCTAATCTCAGCCTTCGAAGTAGCTACAATTAGAGGTATGAGCCACCAGTGCCTGTTTTATGGTGAATTCTTTTTTTTTTTTTTTTTTTTGAGTTTAAGGAAAGAATATATTTAAAGCACATAAACAAACAAAAAGGTATTATTATATAATAAAAAAAGTAACAGTTTATGTAAGTACCTAAGCATGTGCTTACATCTAAAGAAAAAAGGTAACATTGGTATGTACATATATATATTTGACAAGTGTGCATTAAAGAATTCTCTAATGTAAAACATTTAAATGTGGAGAATACTTTTTTTAAGATACAGAAAACAATTGTTAGGATAGGCCTACCCACAATCCTCATAAAAATATGCTTGCAAAGATAAGATATGCTTTCTCAGATGTACAGAAGTTGCGAAATTGTTAATCTTGGATACTGCCTCCCACTTTTGCATTGTTTGAGTCAGCACTGGTATGAAGTCTAAAGTACAGTGAATTCTTTTTATTAGCTTTCTGAGAAAGAGGTACAGGAGGTAATTTTTTTTAGAACTTGCATGCCTGAAAATGTCTTGTTTTATTGGTATTTTTGTTAAATACTATTTGTGTTGCAATTTTTTTTCCATAAAGTTTTGACAATAGCTGGATGCTGGTGGCTCACGCCTGCAATCCTGGCTATTCAGGAGGCAGACGTCAGGAGGACCGCACTTAGAAGCCAACCCGGACAAATAGTTTGGGAGACCCTATCTCAAAAAAGCCCATCACCAAAAAAGGGCTGGTGGAGTGGCTCAAGGTGAAGTACCTGAGTTCAAACCCCAGTACCCCCAACCCCCCCAAAATTAACATTATTGTTCCATATTCTTTCTATTACTGCTTTTGAGAAGTCAAATGCTGTACAGATTATGGAACTTTTTTTGTTATCTGCTCTTTTCTTCTTTGGAAGCTTTAATGCTTTTCATTGTTTTCATTTCTCTGAAATTACATGATGATGTGTCTTGGTGTCTTTTTTCAGACACTGTGTTTGAAACAGTCTAGAAACTCCTCTTCAGTTCTGGGAAATTTGCTGTAATTATTTCTTGCAGTTTTTGGGATAATTTATTCAATAATTATTTGAAAATGCCTCCTGTTTTATTTTTTATTTATTTGTTTTTTAATTTTTTATTCATTTATTCACATGTGCATACATTGTTTGGGCCATTTCTCCCCCCTGCTCCCTGTCCCCTCCCTCTCCCTCCCACCTCCCCTCGCTTCCAGGCAGAACCTGTTGAAAATGGCTTCTGTTTTAAATCTGTATGAAGCTTTTACTTTTTCCCTGTTACTTTTTTGGTTTGATTATGCCTTTTTGTTTGTTTGTTTCTTTCATGGATACAGTGTTTTGTCTTTCATGGATACAGTGTTTTGTCTTGCTTTTTGATATTGAAAGTTTTTTTGAAGTGTTTTTCAGTTCCCTATGTTGCCAAATTTCCTTTGAGTACTTTCATTTTCCATTTTGGCCTATGTCTTACCTAAACGGTTCTCTTTTTAGGTATTTGGTGATGCATGGTTGTATGCTCATTTAATTGTGAAGCTGTCCAAAGCCAGTGAAGTTCCTTGTGTGTCAGTCACGGGCTTTTCTATAGGGTAATCTGGCTATGGTGTTTTTAATTATAGTATCCCTAGTTGTTGGTACCTGAAAACTGTTTCCATAGGAACAAGTCCTTTTTAGTTCCCATTTGGGAGGTGTTAACCTGTTTGTCAGTAGTCTTGTAGCTCAGTGAGGTGAGGAGTGCTGGTATCTCACTCTATACTAAGTCATCTCCCACTTAAGAATTCATATTTTTAATATGTTACTCTCATTTTTACCTGGGCCAAATGTCCCAGAGTCTCAGGTTCCATATTTCCAAAGAATAACTCTGATTTTACAGTGTGTGTGCATGTGTGTGTAAAAGAGGTAGAGATTGATGAGAGAAAGAGAAAGAAAAAAAATGTTTGAATATGTATCTACTAGAAGAGCACTGGAGGCGTCCTAACTGCCTTTTGTACAGACTTTTAGCCTTTATTTCCTCCATCCTCCTGGTACTAATGTCTTCAATCATGCCTTCTTGGGTTATAGCAAACCCATTTGCTTTTTGGTCTTTCCTATCTTCTGACTTTAGATTTTGGCTAGGGCCAAAATCTGGTCTGTCTGTCTAGTCTCTTTCCACTTTCTACTTGTACAGCTACTTTTTGACTCATCTCCTATTTTTTCTTTTGGTCGTTTGTACCTTTCTAAAATTAATTGTACAAAATAATGCCTTTTAGGGCGGAGTGGGTGGTAAGGGAGGGGGCGGGGGCAGGGGGGAGAAATGAACCAAGCCTTGTATGCACATATGAATAATAAAAGAAAAATGAAAAAAAAAATAATGCCTTTTAAAAAGGTCTATTTTGTTATCTTAGCAGATTTCAGAAGAAAGTGGTGGTAAATCCTGTGTTAAATTTGCCACACGAATCATAAGTGGCCTTTTCTGTTTTGAAGCAATTTCTCTTATTCCTTATAGCTGCTGCCATCCAACTCCCTTTTAATCACCAAAGTTTTTTAACACAGACTATTCTGTGTTTATAGTCCTGTATTTCTTTCTAATTCACTTCTCTAACCTTTTAAGACTTTGTGCTCTGTACTCAGTCTCTTTAGTGAAACATTACAGTCCAGCTGACCAACAAATCAAATTTGTTTTTACTTGTCAACCTCATCTGATTCTGTCATATGTGTATGATAGGAAATATGCTAGGAAGCTATAATTCTGCAGAGAAATTCATTGATTTCTGTTTAATAGTGTTTTGATTTTTGATGGTACTGAGGTTTGAACTCAGGACTTCACAGTTTCTAGGCAGGAGCTCTATTGCTTGGATCATATCTCCAGCCCTTTTTCCTCTGGTTATTTTTTGTTATTGTTATTTTTTATAGCTTTTTGTGGCATTGGTGTGTTATTTTTTGTGGTATTGATGTTTGAACTCAGGGTTTTGCACTTCCTAGGCAGTTACTCTTATGCTTGAGTCATGCCTCTGGCCCTGTTTTGCTCTGCTATTTTTGAGATAGGGTCTCACTTTTTGCCCAGGCTGGCCTTGAACCATGAGCCTCCCTCCTATTTTAGGCTTTCTGCTGTAGCTTAGATGACAGGTGCTCTCCATATACCAGGTTGTTTCCATTGAGATGGGTTCTCGTAAACTTTTTTCTCCGTGTTGACCTAGAATCGAGATCCTCTTGATCTTAGCCTCCTATGTAGCATGGGATGGCAACCCCCCCTCCCAGCTGTTGGTTGAGTTGGTCTCTTGCAAACTTTTTGCCTGGGTTAGCTTTGAGCCACAGTCCCCACAATCTCACCCTCCCAAGTAGCTAGGATTATAAGTGTGAGCCACCGGCACCAGGCTTGATAAAATAGAGTTTTAAAGACATCAAATAAATTCAGACTTTTCTTTCATATATTTGGGCTGTTTCTTTTATGAATTGTCTGCTCAAATCACTTTTTTTTCTTATTGGTTTCTAAGAACCCTTTGCATGCTAAGGTTAACTCTTGCTATGTGTTACAAGAATATTTTCTTTCTAGTTATTTTAAATTTTGATTTAATCTTTTGTAATGTGGGGGTGGAGTGGGTGGTAAGGGAGGGGGTGGGGGCAGGGGGGAGAAATGAACCAAGCCTTGTATGCACATATGAATAATAAAAGAAAAATGAAAAAAAAATCTTTTGTAATGATAACTTCCTTTTAAAGGGAAATCCCCTTCCTTTTAAAGTATTATAGGTAGTAGAATATTGTTTATGCAGAATTAGATTTGTCCTAAATCAATGGTATTCTTAAAGGTTAATTACCTTCAGTACAAAATTACAGTGATTTAAAACTCTAAATTTTTTTTTTCATTTTTCTTTTATTATTCATATGTGCATACAAGGCTTGGTTCATTTCTCCCCTGCCCCCACCCCCTCCCTTACCACCCACTCCGCCCCCTCCCTCTCCCCCCCCCAATACCCAGCAGAAACTGTTTTGCCCTTATTTCTAATTTTGTTATAGAGAGAGTATAAGCAATAATAGGAAGGAACAAGGGAAAACTCTTAAATTTTAATGCAAGTAAGATATGGCATGTTATATGGGATACAAGGATGGTAAGAAATGACCAAATCTAATAGATAAATCTGTGTCAGAAAATCTTGTATTTGATATAAATTTATTTTGTAAATCAATCGATGAATGTTTAAGTGTCTGTTATTTTACACTACTCCTATTTGTAAGTTCTTTGAAAATTTGAGCCATGTCTGCTTTTCTTTTTTAAGTAGGAGCACTGCCTTCATGATATCTCACAGTGACACATCCAAGCACGTTAATAAGTGCATGTACACCTAAGAGTGATGAGCTGCATTTCTCTGTTATTGTTTCCATTTTAGCTCTTACAAGAAACTGAAGTATGGAAAGAAAAAGTGAGTGAACTTAATAAACAGAAAATGATACTCGAAGATTCCAAAATGCATGCAGAACAAGTTCTAAATGATAAAGAGAATCATATCAAGGTAAGTGGCTCTTCTGTGAAATTGAAAAACTTTTCTTTTCACAAGCTTTTATTTTTATTGTATATTTGGCCAGGTTTTCAAATTGTTCTTGAAGATTTATAGATTTGTAGCATATGGATCAATGTGTGTCATTTTTTTTTTTTTTGGTCTCTTTGGTACTTTAGCCTAGGTATTTAATAAAGAAAGAAAAAAATAGTGATTTTTTTTTTTTTTTACCTCTTCTTGAGAAATTGGGTAGATAGTTAAGGTTATATGTATTGACTGAGTATTTCAGTATCTTGATTTGGGGATGTCATATACTTTCACAGCAATGAAGACTTTTTTTTTTTCCGTGGTATTGGAGTTTGACCTCAGGGTCTTGTACTTGCTATGCCAGCACTCTCCCTTTGAGCCACACTGCCAGTCCTTTTTTGCTTTAGTTATTTTTCAGGTAGGGTCTCAAATTTTTGCCTGGGGAAAAATCCTTCTAATCCCACATACCTGGGACCACAGGCTGAACTACCATACCCAGTTTATTTGTTGAGATGGAGTCTGGCTAACTTTTTGCCTGGACTGGCATTGCACCACTATCTTCTTGATTTCTGCCTCCTGAGTAGTTGGGATTACAGGCATGAGCCACCACACCGGACCAAGATGGAAGACTTTTTAAAAAATAAACTTTAGTGCAACTTGGCTCTAATTATAGAAATAAAATAGCTGATATTGCTGGGTTGAGATTTTCCTTCTCCATTTCCTCCCTACCTCAACCCCCTTTTCTGCATATTCTTTTAAATCTCATGCTTTTCAACTATAGGTACTCAAGTGTGACATTCTGTAATCTCAGTAAAATGTATGTTGTCATATTAAAAGCTTTACATTTATGCTGGCTATATTGCTATTAAGCATGCTCTCAATATTCTAACTTTTATAGTGTTATTCATAATTTGTCATACAGTTGACCTCTGTATCTATAGGTTCTGCCTTTGTGGATTTAACCAGCCAGACAACATTACAAAAAAACAAAACTGCATCCACACTGCACATGTGTAGACTTCTTTCCTTGTCATTGTTCCCTAAACAATACAGTATAACAGCTATTTACAGAGCATGTACATTAGATATTATAAATAATCTAGAGATGATTTAAAATATATGGGGGATGCATGTGGGTTTTATGCAAAAACTATACCATTTTTTATAAGGGACTTCAGCATCCATGAATTTTGCAGTGGTGGTGGGAGGGGTTCTGGAGATAATCCCCTGTGGATACCAGGGGATGACTGTACATTCCCCTCCCCTAAATTTACTCTACTTAAAGAGCTTGGAATTCTTCGAAACAGAACAATAATGAGCTGTAAGCCCCAAGACTGCTCAAAGCTATAGATCTTGTTATTTGTTTTTGGAGCCCCAAAGTAAGGAAGAGATTGAAGGGTGAAAACTGTAGAGCAGGGTAGAGTTTTAGATGTCAAGTGTTATTGACAGTCACTATCTATATTGCTAGGAAATCTTTCATATGTGTGTGTGTGTGTGTATACACTTTTTTCTTTTGGCAGTACTAGTTTGAAACTAGAGCCTCACAATTGCTAGGCTGGATCTCTACCACTTGAGTCACAACTCTAGCACTAGAATATTTTTCTTTACTCAAGAAAACTAAGGAAGTACTTTTAGAAAACTTCTAATATTCTCATTTAAATTCTTTTTATAGTGTCTTATTCTTTATCTCAATTGAACTTCTCAGCTAGTTTATTTGAGTAAGTTAAGTAAAAATTTATGATCTGTTTTCCTACATCATATGTCTGCTTGCAGATTTGATATCAGACAAAAATTACTCCCATGTTAATGGCCACTTTTATTTGTGGCATGTGAGAAATGTCATATAAGAAAATATTTTACTACTTGTCATGTATTTATCAAGAGTAGGCCATTGTCATAAGTTGTATTTAGGAATAACTGGTTTTGGTTTTTATCTTGAAGGGTTTGTCAGTAACTGTTACAGTTTCAATGACTATTTACATATCTTAATAAGAGGTGGAAAAGAAGAGCTCATATGCTATTACTCATGTGGATTGACTTTTAGACTACTATTGTACATTCCTAAATTGTAAAATCATTAGCATACAGCATTACCTTTGTCTTTGTTTCTCCCCTTTGCTAACTGTCAAGTCTCTGACTGAACAATTGCTAAAGATGAAAGATTGGGCTGCCGTGCTTGGAGAAGACATGACAGATGATGGTAACTTGGATTTGGAAATGAAGAGTGAAGCAGAAAATGGTGCTCACTTAGGTATTAAGTCATGACTCATCCTCTTTTGCTAAAATGGTGACTAGCTATTCTATTTCTTTTTTGTTCCCCATGTGCACCATGTTCTTTGTACGCTTGTACTTGGCATATTCTGTCCATCTGTCTGAAACACTCTGTCCTTCTCTGACCATCCCAGATAGTTTAGCTTTGGCTAATACTGCCTTTTCAGTAAACATACACCTCTTTAGACAGACTTATGGCCTCCTTGTCCTCGTTTTCTTTATGTATTATACATATCTTCAATACAACAATTTTCAAAATCACATCATACTCATTTTAATGTCTGCTTTTCCCTCTGTTGTAAGTTACTCATATGAATGGGTGACTGGTTTCAAAAACAGGTGTTACATAGATCAGTAATTCATGATACACCTTTTGCTCTAATCAGCTGATTTACTCTTGGCCATCTCAATTGTTACTGCTATTGCTGTAACAATTGTGTCTGGAGTTAGCAAAGTTTAGGTTTACTGTAGCCACTCAGTTGTGTTCTCAAACCAGTTCCTTTGACTTGTTAAAAAGAAACCCTTTTTATTTTGGAAAAAATACACATTAATAATAGTGTAGAGAGGTCCCATGTACCCTTCACCTAGTTTCCTATAATTTATCTTTAAAGTGCTCTCTTTTCTGTCTTCCCTGACCCACTACATAAACAATACATTTTTAAGGAGGAAAAGGCTTGATTTTTTTAAAGAAATTCTTTCATAGTATTAATGTGTTGGAAGAAAATTGCATTCCCCAAGTAAACATATACAGGAGTTGTCCCTTATCCACAGAGCACAGTTCCCAAGCTCCACAGTGGATCCTGAAGCTGCACTTAGAATAGAAATGAACTCTTATCTATACTGCATTTTTTTCCTGTACCTATATACTTATGATAAAGTTTAATTTATAAATCAGGCACAATAAGAGACTCAGAACAACAATAAAATAGCATACTTATCACAATATACTGTAATAAAAGTTATAGGAATGTGGCTTCTTTTGCTTGCGATGCTGAAGCAGGTAATGTGATAACTGAGATGGCTACTACGTGACATATACAACTGGACACAGGGATAATACTTGTGTCAGCAGAAAGGAGCAGGACAGCATGAGTTTTTATCATGCTACTCAGAATGGCTAGTGATTTAAAACTTATGAGTTGTTTATGGAATTTTCCACTTAATATTTTCTTTTTTTTAGTAAAAGTAACAGTAAAATTTATTAAGGGAAGAACAGGGGGGAGAAGAGAAAGAGAGAAGCATTTCATGTTCCCCATGTAGGAAATAGGAGCAAAGACTCCCAGTTAATGTTTTTTTTTATTGTTTTTACATTTACTCATGTGTATACATTGTTTGGGGCACCTCCCCTCTCCCCCACTTAATATTTTCTGACTACTTATATAACTAGAAATCACAGAAAGTGCAACCACAGACAAGAGGAGACTGTTTACAGTTGCAGTTGTATTTTTTCACTTGTACTTCATCATGTAAGCAATAATTTTTTCTACTAGAGAGAATTCATATTTGTTTAATGTTTCAGTTACAATTCCACTTGTGTATTGGATGCTGTAAGAATACAAGAATAGTTAAGATTGTGGTCTGTTTTTAGGTGAATGCTTGATCCTTGTTATAACTATTCTTGTAGTTAATGTTGAAGAATCTTTTAAAATATCATACTTTCAGCACTTCTGTTGTTTAGCTTCCTGGGAATAGGTCCAAGGCCAATCTGTCTTATACTAAATTCTTTATTGCAGCAAGAGACATTATAAGGCTACAATCATTTGGATGTCTGTTTTAGTATTGTACTGTTTTCCCAAATAATTATGCTTTTATTGTTCATTACAGATGATCAGCCAAAAGGAGCTCTGAAGAAACTGATTTATGCTGCTAAGGTCTGCATTATTACATAAAGAATATGGAGGAAGAGATAGAGCTTGTCCTTAGAAACTATTATTTTTTTCCCTTTTTTTTTTATTTTATTGTTCATATGTGCCTTAGAAACTATTTTAAAAGTCCATTTTATTGTTCCCATATAAGTATATTTAAGAAGTGATCAGAATTTTCTGCATCGTTTTTCACCTTTTATATTAACTTTAGAAATTCACATAATTATTTAGAATTTATTAAAATAAAAAATTTCAAATTCTGCACTCATTTCTTCAGATAAAGGAATGTACTTAAAATGTTCAGTATATTTTATGCTTCCCCTTGGTACATTCTTTTTCTTCTGGTCTTAGTATTTTTTTTTTTTTCTTTTTTTTTGCAGTTTAAACTCAGGGCTTCATGTTTGCTAGGCAGCTGTTCTACAATTTAAGCCACTTCACCAGCCCTGGTCTTAATATTTTCTTATTCCTACAGCTTCATACCATATTTGAGAAGCAAATACTAGCTTTATTTTCTCCTGGTTTATTCCTCTTTGTTCCACATGAGTAGGGGTATCCTGTTCTTTGCTGATCCATGTAAAGTCTTGGAAATGAAATTTGAAAGGCTGCTTGTGTTGAATGAAATGTAGATAGAATGGAAACAGCAGGGACTTTATTCCTGTTCTTAACTGTGATGGGTCTTCTGGCTTTCGACTTGGAAACTGCATTTGTGGTTTCTACACTCTAGTTGATGATTTCATCATAGATTCAGAACAGTTGGGGATGTATCGAGGTAGGGTTGTGTGTGTGTGTGCAAGCACGTGTGTGTTTGTCTTTTCCTTTATATAACTGATTATTGCTTTTTTTATATTTCCATTCTTTAAAGTTAAATGCTTCTTTGGAAGCCTTAGAAGAAGAAAGAAACCAAATTTATACTCAATTATCTGAAGTAGATAAAACAAAGGAAGACCTTACAGGTAAGGTTTTTCTAAATAAATCTTTTAGAAAAAGAACTTACTAGATCACTTTTGAGAATATTTAGTTTCATTGCTTTTTTTTTCCCCTACTTTTGCTTTTACTGGCTATTTTTGAAAAATGAGTCCTGAGTTTCGTTGCTCTTACTGGTAAAGCCATCTCAGTTTCTTTTATATTTATGGGAAATTAAAATAATGAAATAATTGTGAAAACATGTAAAATCATGAATTACAGTGTTATATGTTTGGTATGGCTTTACTTTTAAAATTTTTTTGGCAGCGGTAGGGCTTGAATTCAGGGCCTCACGCTTGCTGGGCAGGTGCTCTACCACTTGAGCCACTCTGCTAGCTCCTTGGTATAGTTTTAGATGTTAAAAAATATCTAGCCAGTTGAAACTGTATTAAAATTTTTTGTTAATTGCAAAATTGATCTTCAGTAGTGGTATTAGTTGCAGTATATTTTGCTTCTTTTATATGTAAATATACATTGTTAATAGAACACATAGGAGTGATATTAGACCTGTAGAAATAAAGTTTTTCTTTTCATTGAAATCATTTCTGTATTTTTATTGATAGTGTTTGTATCTTGAAAAAATAAATAAATTCTTTCTATTGTGTTTGGGATTTTTTGAAGTTGGTATAGACATTTTGTAAATAAGATTCATATGTTTATATCAGAAAACAATTTATATGTAACTACAAGAAGAGAAATGAGGTTTGGAAAACAATTGGTGCACTGGTCATAAAAAAAATTCATAATTTTGTTGAAGGATAGGAAGGTAAAACAGATCCTGTCCAGGGGTGGGTACCAGTGGTAGGAGGGAGGGTAAACAGAGAGGTTAAGGGAGGGTTTATATGATCCATGTACTTGTAGAACAGTGAAACCTATTGAAATTGTTCTAAGAAGGAGGGAGAGGGGAGATGAGGAAGAATGAGGGGTGAACCTAATTAAAATATATTGTATGCACATGTAAATGTCACAATGAATCCCCCCTTACAACTAATAATAGACTAATAAAAAAATGGAAAGACAGCATAATGATAGAGCCTACAGACACAGAAAAGAATTCATTATTATTTAGACTTGTTCATTTTCATTTTTATATGTGATTTTTTTTGCAGTTATATATAGCTATTTATAGTAAAAAACACTTTTAAACCATTGGATATGGAGGTTACTAATTTGTCAGTGTTCTGCTTACATGATTGTGGTATGAGGGTTATTACTAGACTTTGAAAAGACATAATTCTAACTTTTAAAAGATCTTACTATATGTAATCCTGTATAGTACTAAATGCCATGGGTGAGTCACAGAAGAAATGGGTATGAACTCTGCTCTCAAAGAAGCTGCATTTTAATATATATTGATATATTTCTAAATTTGAATAGAAAATGTCATTCTATCAAGGAATTTGCTCACCTGTTACCCCATCTTTTCATAGAATTTCTTGGCAAATCTTTATTTTTTCATAGTCTAATATTGGAGAATGCATATCTGCTTGTACTATTCTTCTAAATCTTTCTTTTTACAATGAGTGATAAAAATAAATTTATAATTGATCTATTTATAGCATTATTCATCATTTGGAAGTAAGGAGTGTTGAACTGTAATATCTTCCTTTAAAACTCCATTTTTGCAGTCTTCTTGAGAACTTCAGGGCTTTTAGCTCCCTTAGAAAATTGAAGATTTTAGGAATCCTATAAATAGTATAATAAAAAGTTAAAACAATAGAGATAGTTCCTCAGTTAAACTACTAAAAAGCATTTGGGTAGACAAAATTCCTTACAGATTTTGTTGCAGAAAAGTTGTTGCAGAAAGTTTAGCTTGTTATTATTTTTAGTAATTTTTATCTTACTGAAATGCTAATATACAACTCAGAATATTTACTCCTTTAATTATGGCTTTTCAAAAATTTCTTTAGAGCATATTAAAGCTCTCCAGACTAAACAAGCTTCTCTGCAGTCAGAAAATGCAGAGTTAGAAAGTGAGAATCAAAAGCTTCACCAGAAACTTAAAGTAATGACTGAACTATATCAAGAAAATGAAATGAAACTCCACAGGTAAGAAAAATTGTTTTCATAACTCCATTGGATGGCAAGTAACATAGCTTTAAAACTATATTTTACATCCAGAATGGAGGCTAAGCAAAAAGTATTTTAAAAAAAATAAAATTATATGTTACATATTCAGCATTTGTGATTCTTACTCATTCTTAGCTTATGATTGGATTATGTTTTATCAGTTCATTTTCAGGAGAATTATTTCATCCTGAAACACTTTTCTTCAAGGAAACAAATGTAAATGATGTTAGAAGCTAACTCACAAAATCATCTTTTATTTCTAGTGACTAGTCAGCAGATTCTCGTTGAACTTGCTAATATTGGCAGGCTGGATCAGGAAATCTGAGTGATTATTTTCAAGTGACCTGCCCGTTCATTTCCCGTACATGGGTTGTTCCTGCACAAGTGTTCCTTGGCTCAGTTAATGGCAGTGTCGTTGCCTAGGGTAGCTGCTCAAGCCATCCTGTATCTTCTCTTTTTTACATCCCATATTCGGTCTATCATCAGATCTCATCCGTTTTCCTCAGTTTGAATCTGAGCACTTTTTACCGCTGTCCAATACTACTAGTGTGGTCCAAGCCATTATTGCCCAGTACCTGGTTCATTACAGTAGCCTTGTGAGTAGTCTTCCTCTTTCTACCCTTAACCTCCTGCCCTGTGTTTTCTCTAAAATAAGGATGATTCTTAAAACATAAATCGTGTGTATTATCCCTTTTCTGCTTGGAACCCCTAAGACCTTTGTATCACACTCAAAATTTAATCTGAAGCTTTTATCTTGGCCTAAAAGAGTTTACAGCCTCTGACCCATGGCTACCTCTTTAATTTTAGCTTGATTATTTTAATTTTCCCTTACTACCCTCTACAGATTTTTAATGTGTCAAGCACATCTGTATCTTAAGGCCTTTTGTACTTGTTCCTTTTACCTGGAATGGTGGTCCCCCTGCATATTTGCAGAACCCAGTCCTTCATTTCATTTGGGTCTAGGTTCAAATGCTGAAGAATGCTATCCTAACTAAAATAATACCTGCCACTCTGTCCCCTCTATCTTGCTTTACTTTTCTTTATAGCCCTTATCATCCTCTGAGAATTGATTTAAAAAAAAATATTTCCCGTGTTAAATTTAAACCATGAGAGAATTTCTTTCTTTTTGGGGGGGGGTGCAGGGAGAGAACTTCTTTATTTTCTTGTATATACTCCCAGTGCCTATGTGAGGCAAATAATAGTAGGTGTTCAATAAATATTTTTTGACTATATGAGTAAACACGTTTAGTGCATTTATATATTGGAGTGCATGTGTGCTTATATAAGCTGCTACCTAAGTGTATTGATACACGGAAGACCTTTGAGATATCTGTCTGGAGACTGTAGATTTTCAAATATATTTATAGCATTATTTTTTATCGTAAAGGACATTAACATGTAATAGATTTTTATTCCCGTTTAGGAGCTTAATGAAAGTCATTTTTTCAATCCTCATTCTTCGAAGATTCTGTATGTGTAGGTGTGCTCACTTAATCAAATTTTTTGTAACCCCAGAGTAAGTTCTTGGGCATTCATAGAGATTCTTGGAACTATGAAAAACTTTAAGTTGCCCAATGTGAGCCTTCCCAGGTGAGGTTGAACAAGGCAGTACTCTATCATCTTATTTCAGTTCTCATTCTGTAAACAGGTGTCCTTTTCACAGCTATTTAGTGCCTTATCGTTCACCTTTTTATGCCTTTTGTTGGTGATTTCACTGTTTAAAGTGGTCCCCAAGCATGGTGCTGACATGCTGTCTAGTGTTTTCTGAGTATATGGAGAATATACGTGTCAGAGAAACTTTGGTTAAGCATGGCTTATGATGTTGGTTTTAAGTTCAGTGTCAGTGCATCAACAGCATATGTTAAATAAGGTGTCTTCATCTAGAAACACACCTGAAACAAAGTTGTGTATTGAGTGATTAAGAAGCGTTTAGATCAGAGGCTAACAGGATCCCCAGCCTATTACCCTTGGGAATAATGATCCAGTATTTGCTAATTTAGGATTTGTGGTGGTTTTATAGGTCATAACTAGTACAGATAACAAGGTCTACTCTACTTGAAAACTGGTAAAGAACATCAATGTTCTGTTGAGATAAGGATGTTGGGTGGTTGGGTAGACGCATTCACTGACAACTGCTATACCTCACTCATACTTTGGATCAAATTCAGTATTGAAAACTTGCCGTTCATCATGGACCTTGGGCCATTTGGAACTGCTCAGACTTTGAAAGAGAAATAAGCTTGACTAAATAGAGAAGTAATAGTGTAACCTTTGGGTTTTAGTCAGTAACCCTAGAAAGAAGCCATTGATTCTTTTTAGGTTAGAATGAAGGATTATAGAAATAGATTTTGGACATAAAAGGAATTATTTGAGGGAAAAATTACTTCTGAGTGTATGTTTGGAACAAAAAATATTGAAGTTGATTATGGACTTTTAATGAGGATGTTTAAAATTTCAAAGAAAAATTGTTTTATTATCAATTTTCAAGGCTAGAATGAGAAAGTAAATAGTATTCTACCAGGCTGTGCTTTCACATTGTAAATTAATTCATTTGTTTGAAATGTTTGGCATCCCCAAAAGGTTATATGTTCTATTCTTAAACTGTTCACTACTCAGATTCAGAGAATTATACCAGTGGTTGTTCTTTAGACTAAAGTATAGAGAGCTGATAGAACCAGAAGAATGTTAGGTTTAAATCTTGCCTGCATGTGGTATAATGTAGGTTCAGTCTTCTACAGGTTGGCTTGATATTTTTCACAATTGATATATTACATTGATAGTACTTTTTCAAGCTTACTATTGGAGAGAAGTGAAATGGTAAAACCTAAGAGTTCAGTGTGTTGCTCTGAATGTGTGAAGTAAAGGGTGTATGAAGTAAAGGCCTATTATTGGGTTTCATTTCACAGGGTAATTTCTATTTCTAATAGGCCCACTCAAAGGGGAGGAGGCACACAGACCTTACCTCTCAACAGGAATCTCAAAAATCTTTTATTTCACACAGTGTTTAAAAACACTTCTCTTTCTTACCTATGCCTATTACACTTTTATGACTTTCTTAAGGAGATGTGTTGTTTTTTTTTTATAATACTTATGTAAAGATTGACCTAGGGGAATTCTTTCTAAGCTATCAATATGAAGTGTGTAGAATATAAAATACTTAAACCATAGTGACACACTTGGGAGGCAGAGGCAAGAGGATTGAGAGTTTGAGACCAGCCTGAGCTACATAGTGAGATCCTGTCTTAAAAAATTGTTTTTAGTTTTGCTCTGCAGTATTTCTTTAGTAGTTTGTAATGTTCCTCCCCAAAGGTCATTGAGGAGAGGAGACATCCATTTAGGACTCTATGCATGTTTTCCTGTGGTGGTCAATAAATATTTCTTGAGAGACTTTTATTATTAACAATACCAAGTAAAACAACATGGGTATAGAGTATAAGAGTCAAAACTTGTGAGTCCTATGCTTTGGTCCAGTTATAGCATGTGCCACATAATAACATGTTGTCAACTGTGGACCACACAATATAATGGTCTCAAGATTATGTCATCTAGTGATACTGTAGCCATCACCCTGTGATGTTCTCATAATGACAGTGATTCATTTGCCTAGTGATTCATTTCTCAGGACCCATCCCTGTTGTTAAGCAACGTATGATTGTATTTAGTTTCTCTCTGCTTCATTTTCATTTTTGTAAAATAGGAATAATAACAGTACCCTTCTTGTAGAGCCATTGTGGTAATTAAATAACACATGTAAAAGCCTTAGGGCAGTTTTTGTCACACACTAATGGCTCAGTAAGTTACTTGTTATGAAAAGAACTAAGAGGGTTGGAAATGTGGCTGTCAAGGGTAAAATGCAGGCCTCTGAGTTCAAGCCCCAGTACCACTAAAAAGAAAAAAAAGAACTAGTAGTAGTAAGTAGGACTAGTACTGCACGAATATTATGTGTTTTGAGTTTATTCTATTGTAATTATAAGGCATGAAAGCCTAATAACTTACTTTCAACCACCAATTTAAAAATTGTTGAAACAGTTTATTATCAGTGACTTCTTGTCTCACAAATGTAATGCACAGGAAAGCTTAATAAATATAGTCATGATAGTTTTTATTAATATTTACCTTCTGTAATCTTATCTTTATGATAAATCAATATAGAAAACCCTTGATATTATTATAGTAGTAATATTGAATTGAACATGAATTTATAATATTAAATTCTACACCAGGAATATTTACACAGGTGCTTTTTATCTTTCTTGCATGTGATGTTTGTAGTTATTTTATGGGGAGCACCAGTTTTGGTACAGTTAAAAAGCTGTGATTGCTTATATATGTTCCATGTATTTTTTTAAATTTTATTATTCATATGTGCATACAAGGCACATACATGTTCCATGTATTAAAAGATATAAAACACTTTCTGTTTTAAGGAAACTAACAGTAGAGGAAAATTACCGGCTTGATAAAGAGGAGAAACTTTCCAAAACAGATGAAAAAATCAACTGTGCAGCTGAGGAGCTGAAGACATATAGGTATTAAATACTGGTTGTTTTTTTTTTGGGGGGGGAGGTTATCTAAAAACTCAATATTAGACAACAATAGTAAAGCAGTCAAAAGTAAATTATTATTTCATTACTTTTCATTCAGATTGCTGCAGTTCTTCATTATACAGAAAACATACAAAGGAGGGCTGGGGTTGCAGGTAGAGTCCTACCAGTGTGTGCAAGGCCCAGGGTTCCTTCCCCAGCACTGTACCAACAAAAAAGAGAGGAAGTGTTTTTAGGATGTGTCATTTTTATATCTCTCTGTTGAATATAGACAATCCTGTTTTATGTTAGTATCAAGAAATGTATGAATAGACATTAATTTCAAAATCTTTCCCTTTTGGTTCAAATGTTAATGAATTCAATAAGTGTGCTACAAAAGAAAAGTGAGCCACAATTAGCATTCTGAATAAGTGTTTGTAAGATTATAGGTCTAGTTTTTGGTTCATTCATCACTGGATCCAAGGAAATAATAGAAAATCTGAATTAAAAAAAAAAAAGGAAGATAAAACAGTACCCTGAATACTGGGAATCCTCATTTTACCTTAGGAAGAATAAACTTACTTTTAATCCAAAAGAAGGAATTATACATGAAATAGAACTCCCTACATGGTATTAACTTTTAAAGTGAATTTATTAAAAAAATTTTTAGTAGAGAGTATTTGTATGCTATCATTTCCTTTTACATATTAATACCATACTACAATAATAATTTGTTCCATATAGAAAGCGAGCTAAAGATCTTGAAGAAGAACTGGAGAGAACCATTCAGTCTTACCAAGGGCAGGTATGTGTGTGTCTGTGTGTAATTTAAAACAATTTTGAATTGTCTGAATTGATATAGAAGTATAACTGTTCGAGCAGTTGTATACCTCTCTTGTGATGTTTAATGTTGCTGTGGAACATTTCTAGGGAGCCAAAGATTGTGAGATTAAAAAAAATCTTATTTAAAACCTGCTTTTTGGGACTAGGGATTACATCACATAAATAAACATGTCTGCATTGGGATTCTCATAACCAGTCAGGCTAGTTATCTCTTATTTGAAAACTCTTGTGGTAGATTATTACATAGCAATTTACTAGCAAAATTTTTTATTTTTTTTACATTAAATTTTTGTTTTAAAAGTATGATAGAGTGAAAATTTGGTTTAAAAATGTTGCTTACTGACTCTTCACAGATGCTTGGGGTATTGTGAGTGTATGGTTTGTACACTCGCTTTTAGTGATAGATATCAGTGGTTTTTACTTAAGAAAAATATTGTTAGTTTTTAACTTACTTTCTTTTTCAGATCATTTCCCATGAGAAAAAAGCACATGATAATTGGGTAAGTTTAAATTTTCTTAAGGCTCTTTTCTCAAATTCCCTTAAGCAGAAGGTACACTGGTCATTTAAATTAGGTGAAAATAGAGATAGCATTTAAGAAATCACTTTCTATTAATTTTGCCAGTGGTAAAATTAAGTTAAAAATTCAGATCATGTAGGAGATACTAAAAAGTAAGCATCAATATCTCTTGATTTATCTGTACTTTTGGATGTATTTAGACATAAAAGTGCATACACATGTCGAGAGGAATCCTTTTGTATCCTACTGTTTATAACTTGGTTTCTTCATTTAATGTACCTTAGACATTTTTCTGTGAATGCTCCATACTTTGTGAAAACCTTTTTTATCTGATGAACATGAGTTTTTTTTTTTTTTTACCTTCATGACTGTAGTTTCAGTTACTTTCTCCATTTAGCATTTCTGTGCTTCATCCTTTCAATCCTTTTTTTAAATCATTTTTTCCTTTGAACTAATGTAGTACTTTGTTTTTGTGTGTCATGTGGCAACCATTATGTTCTTTGTTTTTATTTTTTGAGACAGAATCTCACTGTGTAGCTCAGGTTGGTTTCAAATTCTCCATCCTCCCCTCAGTCTCCTGAGGGATTACAGGTGTGCTCCATTAAGCCCAACTCTTGTATATTCCTGTGGTCTTTGTTCTTACCACAAGAGTTAAACTCTAAGGCAGGACTGTTTCTTTTCCTTTAATACCTGCACCTATTAGAGTGCTTTGTATATTAGAAGTATATGATATTTGAATATAGTGTTTTAGAGTTCAGTGTGGTCAGTAAACTGAATTTTTTTTAACCTAGTCATTCATTATGAGTTTTTCAAATGTCTGTAATCATTTATCATCAACTCATTTTATACATATTTTTGTAGTATGTCTTTTATGTTGATAGCTTAGTTTTTGTATCTTAAACTTGAGTTACAGTGTTATACTGTATTGAAAACACTTAGAAGATTCTTCATCATTAACAGTTAAATGAATTGTTATACTTTACAAAGTAAAATTGGTATTGTAACATTCTTTTTTGTTAGTTCAAAATTGATAATGTGATTATGTATTGGAAAAATATTTACATATAGCATCTTTTTTTTTTTTTTTTTGCATCACTGGGGTTTGAACTCAGGGCCTCATGTTTGCTAGGCAGGCACTTTTACCACTTGAGCCACTTCACCAGCCCTATAGCATCTTTTTTGATAGTGCATTCTAAGTCTATTTAAGCCATGCTTTCAGTGAATGTTTGCATAATTTACTTGTTGGCCAGTTAAACTAAATTTTAATGCATAGTTCACAATTTTAAGTGAAAGTAAATTTTGTGGTAGAGTTCCTTTTACCTGGAAAGGGTTATGACTATAGGCTAAATTAACCTTTGTTTAAGCTTTGTCTGCCTTTGTTTGGTAAATTTAGCGGATTGCATTAGTTGGTCAGTGTAATGTCTCACACTGCTGCATCCAATCTCTAGAGCCCACAGAACCACTGGGAAGCAGGTGGTATATTGTATAAGCCCATCTTTTGCCAGCAACTTTTTGTTAGCATTGTATGTTTTTGGTATTTATTGTAAGTATAAACCAGGCATGGCAGGCACACACCTGTAATCCCAGAACTTGAGTGGCTAAGGCAGAAGGATCATGAGTCAAGGCCAGCCTCAGCTACAAAGCAAGACCTTCTCCCATCCAAGTACTAACCAGGCCCGACCCTGCTTAGCTTCCGAGATCAGACGAGATCGGGCGCGTTCAGGAAAGCAAGACCTTCTCAACAACAACAAAAATAAGCATAAACTTTGCTTCATACACACACACACACACACACACACACACACACACACCCCCACACACACACACTTTGAGACTTTAAAAAAAATCAAAAAAGAGTATCAAAAAATAAACCAGGCATAGTAATACACACTTGTAATCCCATCACTCCAGGCAAAGGCAGAAGGGTCACAAGTTCAAGACCATTCTGGGTTTTATAGTGAGACCCTGTCTCATTAAACAAATCATAATTGGAAGAATCACAGTTTGTTCAAGCCTGGGCAAAAAGCTAGTGCATTTTAGCAAATAAGCTGGTCATGGTGGTATGTGCCTGTAATCTCAGCTGTATGGCAGGCATAGGTGGGAAGATTGTGGTGTGAGGCTGGCCCTTGGCAAAAAACATAAGACCTTATTCAAAAGATAACTAAAGAGAAAAAAAAAAAAAAAAAGGCTGGAGCCATGGCTCAAGTGTAGAGTGTTTGCCTAATAAATGCAAGGCTCTGAGTTTAAACTGTCCCCCCACCAGTATTGCAAACCTTCCTCCTCCTCCCAGTTAAACAAAGGTAAATGACATAGAGGGATGACATCTGTACTTTACTCTGTACTTAACAGATGTGCAGTACACATTGACTATTTTAACCATTTAAAAAAAGAACCATACTGGCATGCTGCGAAGCTGTGTCAGTAGACCTTTATAGTTTCTCAATGTGATAATGGCGTTAGTCCAGACCTTTTTGTAGCCAGTGCTGCCATGCACAGTGACTGGGAGTCTCTGTTGCCATGGCTGTAGCTTGTGTACTCTCACACAGCTCTCAAAGTGTTATCCCAGTGTGAGATAATGCTAGTCTGTGACCCACCTTGGTAGTAACATTTGTGTTAATCCCAGCCCAGGCTCATGCCTCCCACTTACATGGAACTCATTCCCTTTTTGAGTAATTCCATAGATTTTGAACTGTTTTAAATCAAGTTTACTGACATGGATGTAGACTTAAATGACTGTGATATTTATATGCCTTCATTGTGATATTTACACTGCTCTTTCATTTTAAGTTTATGAGCATATTTTAAAAATGTATTTTCTTTAAGTTGGCAGCTCGTACTGCTGAAAGAACCCTCACTGATTTAAGGAAAGAAAATGCTTACCACAGACAAAAGTAAGTGTCGAAGTGAGAACTTAACATTAGTTATTACTTTGTTATTTATATTAATTAGGTAATATTTTATAAGGATAAATAGAAAATCTATAGAGAGCTCAGTATATCGTGAAATATTGTAGTTTCACTGGCTGTGACTAGTTTATTGTTATGATTTTCTGTTTAAAATATTTGACTTAGAAAGATCACTGAAGTGGCACTTGAAGGAAACTATAACATATTCTTCTGTAAAAGTGTATCTTAAAAAAAATTGGGGGGCTGCAGAATGGCTCAAGTGGTAGAGCACCTGCCTAGCAAGAGTGTGAGGCCCTGAGTTCAAACTCCAGTACCTTAAAAAATTTTTTTTAAACCAGTGTACGTGACAGGATGTAAAAAAGGAAAAGAAAGAGAAAGATGAATCTCTCTGACATAGTGATGCTCAGAGTATCAGCATTTCTTTATGGCTAAGTAGATAGAATAAATGTTATTATCTCTCTTATCCCTTCGTTTTGTTGTATTAGGTGGAATTGTTGTAAAATAACAAAGAGAGAAAGTGTAGAATAAAAGAGAGAGTAAGATGCTTTTCTATGAGGACTATAACAGACTTCTGGGACGTAATAGTCTCTTGCCAGATTATACTATTAACATTATCGAATACTAGTTTTAGTCTTCTTGCCAGTTTTTTACTTGCAGAAATTAAAATCAGATGACTGTTTTATTTCAGGTCTGATAGTCAAGAACTAGAAATTAAATGCTTTAAAATGTCATATTTTGAAGATAAAAAGTTTAAGAATGAGTTCGTAGGATGTTAATGGATTGCTAGTTGTATGCTAGGATAGAATCAGATGGGTCACAGTACAGTGGGAAGCATACATCCAAGAGCCAGAAATGGCTGTGCTTCAATCCCGCCATTCTTTTAGAACAAATCCCACCTCAGTTTCCTTAGTTGTAAAATGATAGACTTGAATTAGTTGACATTGGAGGGCTTTTCCACTTCAAAAATTTGGATTCTGTGATACAGTACTCATTGTAGCTAGTTTTGAAGAACAAAAAAAACCAATCCCAAAAATCAACATGAAAAACTGGTTACCTCTAAATAAGTAGTGGGAAATATAGGAGGTGTTTTCATCAGAATAATTTTATTTTATTTATTTATTTTTTTTTTTAAGAAATAGAGGGAAGGGGTCCTGTGTGTTCCTGAGCAGGAGGGAGTCCCAGAGTTCCACTCATTTGGCTAGACAGCCCCTACCATGTGTGTGTTCTCATCAGCAGGGTGGGAAGGGAGAGAGATGTCCACAGAACTCCTGGTGATATGGCAAAACTACTACCTCTTCCTGTCCCTCAATACATACCTCCCCTCTCCCCTCTGCTTTGAAACTCAGGACTGATGGGGATGCTGGCCTTGGCTCTTCTTTGTGATAGGCAGCACAAGGAGCCTGGAACAGCCAGGCTCTTTGCATCCAGGACTCTTGCCCCTTGCGTCTCTATGTGTTTCATTTCCATCAGAATAATTTTTAGATCTGTTTCTCTTATGCAGATATTGAACGTGGGTGCTTTTCTTGGTTGAGTGACTTAGCTTTTCTTTTCTTTTTTGCAGATTAACCGAAACAGAGTTTAAATTTGAACTTTTAGAAAAAGATCCTTACGCACTTGATGTTCCAAATACAGCATTTGGCAGAGGTAGTGTTTTTATTTAAAATAAATGTTACATACATATAAATTACATATACAGAAAATACAGTTTGTACCAGTGTAAATTAACACTATTATTTATATAAATATTTTAGGTTTAGAAGTCATTATTTTATTCTAAGCTCACTCACCATCTCCCAAGCTTCTGGGTTTTGTTTTCCTAGCGATAGTGACAATTACCAGTATCTCCCTTTTTAAGTGGGATTTTGTAAATTAATGTATGTTTAGTATTGTGAGTTCCTTCAAAAGCTGTATTTAGCACTTTAGGAAGGTGGTCATTAACTATTTTGGGGGAATGATGAGAAGGTATTTAAGTGAAATGGCATTGTGACTATTTACATATTAACTGTAGTTTGAAATTTGCTTAAATTATAAAATAAAATTAAAATAGTTTTTTTAATTATTTAAAGTTATAAACTTAAAAGGTGGGAAAATTTAGTAATCTGGGTCTTGATTGCTATAATTTCCCCAAGGGGGACCAGTTCTTTTGTAAAATTGTTTAATAAGTTCATTTATTATAGAGTTAGCATTTTTCATGATCTCAGACTACTCCAGAGTTTTTAAAGTTTTCAAATAATTTTGGTTGAATTGGAATTAAGCTCCAGTAATACTGAAGGTAAATCTCTCTAGGTAGACTATAACTTTAATATCCCTTGGAAAATTATAAAACTCACTTGCGAGAGTCAACTAATTAAAATTAGTCTATTAAGATTATTATGAGTTCCAATTAGTAACACAGTTTGGAATGGAGGAGACTGTACAGAAGGCCCCATGCAGAAGTCTCCAGGAAGATAAATAATGCTTTGATCTTTTGTCAAACTGATTTGAATATTATCACAGCTATACTTTACAAGATTTATCATGTTTAAAAAGTATTATTTTGGTGTTAAGCTTGTATTTTGTTGTTGACTTTTGACCTTTGGAAGCATAAGCAAAGTTTGGTTAAGTTTGTTATGTGTCTTTTGGTTATATGGAATTTAGAGAAAGTGATTTATTTGACGCATTAGCTATATGTAAATGATTTTTTACTGGTAAGGATTGAGAACTAATGTCTATGCTTCAGAGTATTTTATGCATTTTTTTGTTTTGTTTTTACTTTTTAGAATTTGAGTTTTACTCAAAAACTTTAGACCCAAACGCAAGCTCTCTGGTCCATACTTATTTTTTATTATTTATTTAATTTTATAGTACTGGTGTTTGAATTCAGGGCCTACACCTTGAGCCACTCTACCAGCTCCTTTTCTTGTGATGGATTTTTTCAAGATAGCATCTCAATGAACTGTTTGCCTGGTCTGGCTTTGAACCTTGATCCTCCTGATCTCTGCCTCCTGAGTAGCTAAGATTACAGGTGTGAGCCACTGGCATCCGGCTCTGGCCCAGATTTAAACAGACCACTTCCGTGTTGCAGCCCTTACCAGCTGAGATACCTGGAAGCATACTGCCATTAAAAACAAAATTGAAAAAAAAGACAAACTTCATGCCCCTTCAATCCTATAACTCCAAAGTATCACCACTGTCCTGTGTTTAAGCTTTCTGGTTATTTAAGTGTATTGACTAAATGTCTGTTTGGTAGAAAAACTTTAGAAACCCTAGACTCCGTATTTATTTTAATCTCATATTAGCACAACCAAAGGTATGGTTAGTCATCAGGATGTGGATTCAACTTAAGCTGCAACAGGATGACCTGATGGTAATTGTTGAAATGGGATTCTAACTGTATAGTAATAAGTGAAGCTATGAATTTAATGTGCTGTTTTAATTATTCCAGAGCATTCCCCATATGGTCCCTCACCATTTGGTCGACCTTCGTCTGAAACGAGAGCTTTTCTCTCTCCTCCAACTTTGTTGGAGGGTCCACTCAGACTCTCACCTTTGCTTCCAGGGGGAGGAGGAAGAGGTATATTGTTTAAACATTTTTATTACTCTAGGTTTCTTCCTTCCTTTGTATTTTTATCTTTAAAGTGATTTGTAAGATAAACATTTGGAAAATACAGGCATTCCTTGCACTTATTGAGGCTATTTATTTATTTTCAGGAAAGAATCTCTAAAAATGTAATTTTAATACATTTTTCTCTTAGAAACAATATAATATAGGTGGAGCATCCAAACTCTGAAAATCTGAAATCTCAGTTGCTCTGAAATCCAAGATCTTGGGGGAATGGTGCTCATAAAGTTTGGGTTTTTGACCATTTCAGATTTTGCATTTTTTTGGGTTTGGGATGCTCTGCAAATATTCCAAAATCCAAAATCTGAGTCACTTTTGGTCCCAAGCATTTCCAAAAAAAGATATGGATCCCATACTAGATTACATTTTAATCAAGCACTTGATGCATATTTTTAAGCTATATGTTTGACTTCTTCAAAGTTATGTATTATACTTCCTAATGTAAAAAGTTTTAAAGCATGCAAAGATTCTAACAGTATAACCTAGCACTTTTTTTTTTTCTTCTGTTGGGATTGAATCCGGGACCTTTGAGCATGCCAGGCAAGCTATTTGCCACTTGAGCTACATCTCCAGACCACAAAATTGTATTTTGATGAAACGTGATTACAATGTAGAATTTTAAAAATCTCTTTTTACTTTATTACCATTACTTTTTTATTGCAGAAAATCAGAAAGTGAAAGAGTTCCCCTCTTTTTTTTTTTTTTTTTAAGAGTGAAGGCATTCAGAAGTATTCTTTTTTATTTGTTTTCAGTGGTACTAGGGCTTAAACTCAGGACCTGATGCTTGTTAGGCAGGTGCTGTACTGCTTCAGCCTCTCTACTAGTCCTTAGGCAGAGTTTAAATGGGAACTTTCAAGTAGACTTAAATCATTTGTCCGTACTTTGAGAGGCCTCCCCAGGATTGTGTGCTTTGTCTCTACCTCCCTTAACCTGTTTTTTGAGAGTTTCTATAGTTACCTCAAGTCCAAGTGTCACTGTCGTCCTGCATTTACCTTACCATTGTCACCCATGGTGTTAAGTTTCTTCACTTTGTCAAGTTGCTTCAAAGTTTTCCCTTGATTTGTGGCTAAAGTCGAAAATACAGAGCCCTATGTATTCCAAAATCAGAAGTCTTAGGTTTTCATTCCCAAGTTAGTGTTTATGAGACCTGATGGCATTCTTCCCCACCCATTTTATCAGTGATTTTCACAGATGGAATATAAGATAGGAACATAAAATGGTAAGACTGTGTAAACACACCAAGGTAACCCAAATGAGTCTTGTTCATGCATGCGTTCACATCGATGTTTCTATCCCAGTAGTCTCTCAGGGAGTCTGTTTACTTCCCTATTAAACCTGCTTTTATTCTCAACATTTTTGGAACTCCTCCTTTGGAGTTGCATTCAGAGAATATGAGAAAATCATTTTCTTACTTCGTGGTTGTGAGATACTCCCTTTGCCGATTTCCTATTTATAGCCTCTTTGTCTTCAGTTTGCTTCAAGTGGGCAGTTCTTCCCACCCTCCTAGTCCCCTGTATATTGGGCCCACAGTTGAGGTTCACCTCAGAGAGAGCTTTTGCTTCTGTTGGTCCAGAACTGGAAGCTCCTAAGGAAAGTATGCTGTGGACCTGGAGCCTGGGGAAGCTTTGTGTTGAGCACTCCAGGACAGGGACTGATTTTGAAATTCACATGTCTGCTGTAAGCTTATGGCTTAGTGCTGTAAGTTATTTCCCTTCCCTCTTTTTTCTCTTTGACTTACAGTAAGAAATATATCTTATATCATGTTATATTACACTCTGACATAAACAGAATTGAAACCAGTTACATGAAATAGTACTTACCTTTACAGTTTTGATGATTTCTGTAATTTTCTATTTAGTTTTATCCCATTTTATTAAAAAGGAATGCTCATTAAGACTAAGTTAATTTCATACACCACAAATGGGTAGCAGTTAACAGTCTGAAAAACAAAGCCCTACAACTACAGATAGGATATAATTGGCTAAACTACAGATGTGAATTACTAGAAGTTGAACTACCTAAGTCAAGGATTGCATGTAGTCAAATGAATATCTGAAATAAAACTAAAAATTACCTCTCATTTCTCTTTTCCTGTTTAAATTCCTTTCCTATTTAATTGCTTTCAAGATGCTTATAATGTATTTAAATTATTTGTAAGGGTGTTTTATTATTTGTTTCAAAAGCTACAGAAGTTCTTGGTAAGTTATCAGTAAGTCTTAAAAGTTGGATTGACAGTTTCTGTGACCCCCACTAAAAAAGCATGAAGAGTTTTCCTTCCTTTTATTATCTTTTTAAATTTGAATGTTTGGATGAGGTAATATGTTTGAGTAAGAGAAGGTAAAGGAAAACACTTTCTTTTTAGAGTAAATTGTGTGTAACTTTTTGTCTTAATGAAAACTTTAACGTTTAATATTTTCAGGTTTGTCATTTTTACTTGGTAGTCACCTGGTCTGTAGCTGTGATCCTCTTGGTAGTTAGCAGTCAGGACAAAGTGTTTGAATGTATCTTTTAAAGCTCTGGGCTTCATGCTAGGTGAACACTCTTGATTATTTATTGCTTTTCTAGCCTTCTTCTAATGAATAAACTAGAAGGAAAAATTTGGGTACTATAATAGAATATATATCCATAAGGACAAATGGTATTTGACCTGCCTAGCAAGCAAAATATAAAAAAAAAATAAAAATAAGATTTTTATTTTTTGGAAAATATATTTTATATATTGTCATACAAAAAAATATAATATATATTATAGTTATTATTTTATAACTATGATATTTTAGCTATAATTTAAACATTTACCTTATTAAGTATATAACATATATTTGAATATATGTTAAATACATATTTACTATATATAAGTACAATTATCTTATTAGGGCAATTAGATACATAATTACCCCCTCAGTGACAGATACATAAGCTATTAATATTTTTTATTGAATGCTTAAAATTTTTTATATTTGCCTTTTCCATTTTAATTGAGTGTAGAATTTTAATTAAGGTACTCTTTTTTTGATAATAAGAAGGGAACTTTAAAATGATTTCACCCTTTGTAACTGTCAGCATGCCAGACTTCTTAGAGTGTTTCTAAGAGTGGCAGTCTCTTAAAGTGTTGCATTTATTTTTGAAATTTGTTTTAGACTTGCCTTTAGAGGTTGTGAGTTCTCTTTTTGAATGTGAATTTGATATTTATAAGTTACTTTAAAAAGCCAGTTAGAGCCAAATTTATTCTGATGGGCAAAAAGGTTTTGTAGACTATTTATTGTCTTGGCAGTACTGGGGTTTGAACTCAGGGCCTAAACTTTAAACTACTCTATCAGCCCTTTTTTGTGATGTTTTTTTTTTTGAGATAGGGTCTCTGGAAACTATTTGCCTAGGCTGGCTTCGAAGCACTATCCTCCTGATCTCTGCTTCCTGAGTAGCTAAAATTATAGATGTGAGCCACCAGTGCTCCGCCCTAGGCAGGTACTCTTAACTGCTCGAGCTATGCCACCAACTCTTAAAGTTTTTAATCAGGTTGATTAAAATCATTTTTGGGCAGAAGTAGAGGGTTACGTTATAACAGTGAGTTACAATTTTTGGTGTGCTTCTTAAGTTAATCTGTATAACACATTTCCAAAAACGTTGCCTTAACAACCACTTTGAGTAGTAGCAAAATTACTGAAATAGGTAGATAGCCCTAAGATTACTGAGAAGAATCATGCTTATTTTGACTATTGACAGTTAGTTTCAGCAACAGAAACCTCATATTGCAATCAGCTTA